GATATTGGTGCGTCTCGCGAGAATTCCGGCCAATTCTCAGGAGGCAAAGGAGAAGATCAGGACAACGGTTTCTATGAAATAAGCCCTGTCAAATTCCCAAGATGGGGATTCGACAACATGAAGTTTGTTTTCTTTTTCGACGTCCCATTCCAGATGCCACGAGTTAAAAATTAAGTTTTAAAAAATGACTTGAAATCCTGGTGGGCAAGCCAAAGAAGGCTTCCATAGAATCCTTCAGAGACGCGGCCAGCTTATTTACTTCTTCATTTCCTCTAATGCCTGCATGGCTCGGCACCCAACAAAATTAGGTGGTTTGTTAGGGCTGAAGAGATTGATTTAGTTTTACATATAAAACTGTGCTAGATTCTTTGTAGGTATTACACCAGCTTGAGTCACTTGACAGTGGCCAACTACGTCAAGGGTTCTCCACATAGAACACAGCTTGAGCCTTGTGCTGTACACAGCCTCTGCTGGACGGAAACGAAGGCTATTCCTTGACTTCCGGTCCGCTTTGAAACATTTACTGCCGGGCAATTGAAAGCCAAGCGCCCCCCCCCCCCCCCCCCCCCCCCTCTACTGGCATCGTTAGACAAAGCCTTGGAGCATGTACATAATGTGGGTACGGACATAGCTAGCAGATAATCTGGCCTAACTCAAGGGCTCTGCTGTTAATGTCAGTCCCAAATCTCCCGAAAGCAAAATGGGAGAGAAGATAGCAGCAAGGAGGCAAGGAGATAAGCTGCATTGTTTCCATGGTTAACATCCTGCCTGGAAACGAATGCATACACCAAAGCGCTTACGCCTTTTGACGTGGATTTGACGTGCACAGCAGATTTTGTGTCCTGCATGAAGAGTCGTTTAGCTGGTGGAGGCTCGGGAGAGTCCGGCAGTACAAAGTTTTCATGTCTAAGGGACATTCAATAACTAAAGAATTGTTGCAAGCAGAGATCCTAGCAAACGTTGCACAGGGCTGGTGATAGCACTTCACCAAACCAATGATAACTTGCAAGGTTTGGAAGAATGTGAGGAGATGCTCCTGCAAATCATGTACACAATCATTTTCGAGGGAGTAGCATGACACGCGACATATCAGGTCAGATTGGTAAAATAAAACCCACTTTTTCTGTCCCAATAAATAAATCACAGATCGCTAAAACGGGTCTGGGCCAACTCGTCGAAAGCCAACTCGTCGACGGCTAACTCGCCGGCGGCCCATTCGTCGAATAAGCCAAATTCGACGAATTGGCCGTCGACAGTTTGGCTGTCGACGAGTTGGCCGGATCCCCGCAGGAACCTATGTGGGAATGTGACGCCATCATTGGTGTCATAATACAGTTTGAGAACAGTCTTATTTCAATAAAAATATAAACCCAAAAGCAATATTTCTCTTTGAGCCGAAGTCCACCAAGCCCTAACGTTTTAATATGCAAGAAAGTTGGGCGAGTTGGCGATATATGTTTAAAGGTGCAACGATTTCCGGACTTCGGTCAAAGATTTCTGGAAGTTGCCCTCTGACACTTCTGAAGTAAAGAACAGAAAACCGATTTCGCCTGCGTGTCCTAGTTGTTGCGAAAAAAAAGATAAATATTGGCATTTCGGGCACCCCTCAACTCACTCCCAGCCTCCAGGGTCACACCTGGTCCCCCTCCTAGTGACGTCATTCGGAGTGCCGTGTAGGTTCCCGTGTGCTATCTCGGAGGACGCTTCCTCTTCCTCTCCCTGCTGACATTAGCCGAGCGAAGTCACGTAATCTCTTGGCCGTAGTTCCTTCGGCTACCACTTGGGGCTGCAGGTGGGAGAAAAAGCTTGACTCTTGCTTTGCGATTATGCAGCGGAATCGCGACATTTTTAATAAAGGAGGTGTTTTCTGTAACCTCCGGGACACGATAAACGACGTAAAAATGACGAGATGCAAATTCTTTTAATCATAAAATCGTTGCACCGCCCCTTTAAAGAAAACTGCGGTGGCGTAGCTCGGCTGAGCCAGGATATACGTAACGTGAGCTTATCAAGCAGCTCCGGTGCAGCGTAAGACTTAGGCGGAGAGCTGGGCACGCGGCGGCGCCAGTGCGTCTGCCGCGGCTATGACGTCACTCCTCTGGAATGTGCAGACCGGCGAGGCGCACGCGGTAGCGGCGGAGCGCGCGGCGGCGGCGGCGGCGGCTCAGGCGCGCCAACTGTGCCCCGTGTGACGTCACCGCTCCTCGCGCATGCGCAGACCGGCGAGGCACGCAGGGCGGCGGCGTCTCCGGCGCGCCAGCTGTGCGCCGTGTGACGTCACTGCTCCTCGCGCTTGCGCAGCACGGCTCTTTGGGAGCCACGCGAAACTGCTCAACCTCGGCCAGTGTAGCTAACGCTACAAAAAGTAAAACAGCGCCAAAAAACGTACGACAAGAGGACGGAGTGTACAGAGCGCTTTTAAATTTTTTTTAAACAAGCCCTAACGTTCATCGAACGTCAGCTCATTTTTGTTCTGCATTATTATGCTAAGCTCTTACGACCTATAACAATTGCTAGCATCAAATTTTTTTTATACCTCATGTTTTACGGTGCATAGTTTATTAGTGCGCCAAAAAAAACAGGGTTTCTTTTTCTCAGACACTTCATAATCCACAGTTCAGGCCATTTTTAGAAATAAATACAAATAACATTAAGAAGGCAGGTCACACTGTTAAAGGGGCCACAAAAAGAGAATGTATCTGCGAGACATCAATTTTCCTATATTGAATTAACCACAATGATGATGATTTCTAGGTACTACAGCAAACTATTGTACCGACATTTTATAAGCCATGTTCAAAAATTATGCCTTTTAAACTATGAAAAAAAATCATGTGACACCCTTGGGCAGCATGCATGAGCAAGAAAAGGTCACGGTAGCTATGTAAAAAGATTTAACAGATATTCAACTTTATTCAGTCTTGAAATAATAAATTGTGAAGTATAAAAATGTTGTTTATCAGCGTTCTTGCATTGGTTCTACGCTACTACATCACGTGATTCTGACAGTTTTGGCTTCAAACACATCCAGGTTTCCTGTTGTTTGATAACCATCAGACCATGCTGCACCTCCTGCCACAGATCGCTATCGTTGTGCGACCTGATTGTGAATTAGAATTATAATAAAACTTGGACTAAAGCAATAAACAAAAATGAGACGTCTGCCATCCCTTGTAACGCCGAATTAGAGTGCAGCTCTTGAGGAGGAGGAGGGGAAGGTACGGAGAGGAGGCTATGCCCCTCCCCCTCTCCGGCTTGCCTCCCATTTAGGGGAAAATTTTCCGCTAAATTTAGCGGAAAAAGTTCCCCGCTAAATTTAGCAGAAATATTTCTCCACTCAATTTAGCGGGAAAAATTCCCTGTAAATTTAAAGGAAAATTTCCCCGCTAAATTTAGCAGAAAAATTCCCCCTGAATTTAGCGGAAAGAGTTCCCCGCTAAGTTTAGCAGAAAAATTTCCCTGCTAAGTTTAGCGGAAAAATTTCCCCACTAAGTTTAGCCGAAAAATTTCCCCGCTAAAATTAGCGGAAAACTTTCCCCACGGTTACAACTATGGCAACAGCGACGCCACTCAAGCCGGAAACGGGCGCCTAAGAGCTGTGCTTTAAAAATTTCAATCCCAAAAGGGTTTGAATACAGACCTCCAAAAAATCAGTAAGGAGGAGGGACGCAAGCGTCCGACCTCTCGATCATCAGCACAACCGTTTTGGGCCGTTCATTATTATGGGTGCATGTAGTCCAAGGAGTTTTCCAATGACTGGCTATAAAATAACCCTATTCCTCAGCCCCTAAAGTGGAATATGTATAGGGGCAAGGGGTATTGGTGTCTCCAGCTAGTTGCTTGCCCTCCCGCAGCGGAAAATCAAAGCGCTCTAGTGAGGGTCCCCCGGTTCTCCTGCCCAGCAGGCATGGCGGAACTGCTCGCAATCATGCTTGCAAAATGTCATTTCGGAGTGCAATATATCCCAATGTAGTGCTGCAGCTGGTATGGGATTGTACTTTACTAGAGAGTTTTAATATTGCGTGTAGAAGCAAGCGCTGTGTGTTCGAGTTAGAGAGTTGTGTGCTCCACGCTGTGCATGCGCATCGTCGTTGCCATACTCGACTCCAAGATTGCTATTTTGGGCATGTGCAGTGTAGAACACGCAAGGCAAACACACAGCTATTTGTTTTCACTATGTTCCTATAAAGCTACCGCATTTCATCACATTTGGTCAAATGAACATGCGTGTAACTGTTCGACAGTTTCACGAAACCACTTCAACAAATGATGGTGAATGAGCACAAAATGTGCTCCACAGGTGGTTGCTTTTTAGGCTTGACAACGCTCCATGTAGGTGACACAAGATCGCAAAACGGCCAACTAGTGGCCGCAACGGTGCAATGGCCTCACAGGGGGGATCAGCGATCCAGCAAATCGTCAGATCAGTGGTTGGTACCTTCTGGGTGCCAAAAAAGTTGTGATACCAACACAATTTGTATCTACCCTTTTCTCTGAAAAACATTGTGAGAAAATAGGAATTTGATTAAACTCCCCCTTTAGACTTGATGCAAGTGAACATTATCTTAAATACAGACAAAATAATTCTCAAAAACAACTTTAACAGTAGCACCCCAGACCAGGGTGCTACTACTGTAAATCATACGGGGAAAAGTTATTTTCATTTTGCCCATCGTAATGCCAAATATGAAACTTTATACAGGTGGCAAACGAATTCCAACATGAAGGCACCACCATCATCATAATCATTATGTTAGCCTGATGAAAGCTGGTGATTTTATTTGTTCCAGTTGTTAGCCACAAAAGCCAAAATTGCAAGTGTTGTGCTGACTTACAGAGATCCTGCATGATTGCAGCAAGCACTTCATCTGCTTCAACTTCATTGCAATTCTAAGCTTCTTGGTCACGGAGCACAACCAGCCACCACACTTTGAAGTACAGTGATCTCTTCTAGCCATCATGCCAATACCCAAGGTACAACAATTCATATAAAAAAATGCTTTTCCGAGATTGGTCCACTTCTTTATTCATACTTACAAGGTGCAACTGTTCAAAAAAAGTACCGGAAGAAAAAAAAAAGATGTTGAGAGTGGAACCCGTTCATGCCCCTACTTTGGGAGAAGACTTTTGAGTGGTGTTGATCTTGTCCCCAAGACTCAGTGCCATGCCCTGAAATGAAACAAAATTATTAACAACCTGGCATATAAGAAAACATAGAGCAAAACTATCCTTTCAAAATTGTCATGGCAATACGCCTGACATAAATCGTTACTTGTACAGTGTAGACCGCATATAACGTATGTCGCGGGAGTCGCAAAAATCCGCACTATAAGCGGTACCGCGTTATAACCAAAACATCAATTTTTCAGGCCAACATACATGCCATGAGACTACTTACCTTTGTAAAAGAATTTACTTTATGTTAGGTGAAAAATAAAGCTTAGTTTGAGGAAAGTCTTTATTTCACCAGACTAGAACAGTTCTGTCTCAAGTGTGCAACACATTTTGAAAGAAATGAGCGACTTTTGCCTGGCGCAGCCTTTTAACAGCGTCGTGGGTTGCGGACGGACGTTGCGAGCGTTCAGGATTCCTAACCCTAATCACTTATCTCCGGTGATAGCAACACGTGAAAATTCGCATCCTTTATACGGTACGCGCCAGTAATACCTTCAACTTGAGCACAGGCATGAAATGCTCCAAATAAGAAATCCGGGCGATGTTCGAAAACACAGAAAGCACCACTCTAGTCGAAGTAAACAAACACGACGACACGGGCGTTTCTGCCGTCTTGAGAGTGCCGCCACGACATCGCCGCACGAGTAGGTGGATCTTCCCTTCTAGTACGTGCTGGGTTATCATAACGACGCACAACGAAAATTCACAGTCAAGGGTAGCGCTTTTACGCGGAACGATGAGCCTCCATCATGCAATCTACGTCGACGATCAAAACCAACTCCATGTTTGCGGATAGATGCAGCCGGCCCGCGACCGGAGAGGAGGAGAAGCGTTGTAATAGAGGTTGGGGGGGAAAGGAGAGAGCCAATAGTGTGTACGCACTGCCGGCATGCAACGCGCGCGAACACTTCTTCTCGACCTGCGATTGGTCTGTCGTTGCGGTTGTTTCCAACCATCGCAGCGGAGGGACGCGCGCACGAGAACGACACGTGCATGCGTCCCTCCGTCGCTATGGCAACTGCAGCCTCTCTCTCCGCATCTCCCGGTTTCTTCGAGCAACCTCCTTGCCCCGCGAGTGCCGCTCGCGGCTCGCGCCGTTATCTAGCGCCGCAAAGGGAAGCGTGCTCGCTGCGCCGGTCAGTCGGCACGGCCGCCGGGCTCTTCCAGAAACCGCACTATAACCGGTATTTCCCTTCGCGCGCCTGCATTTTAAGCGGTATGTAAATACATGGAGTTCTATGGGAGGCGAACCGGTGGTTTAAAAAAGCCGCGTTATACCCGGTCCTGCACTATAAGCGGTTACGTTGTAAGTGGTCTATACTGTATTATTATTTAACTATGTGTTTCTTTGAGGTCCGACACATTACACGTAGGAAAACGACACAGTAATAAAGCCCCGCATACATGAAACAGAAAAAAAGATGCTTAACGACATGCGAACACAGCTTCACAAAATATGGCACTAAGTGAAAGACAGAAGTGAAGAAACAATAAAGTGTCCAATTTCTAGAATGCCCTATCACATGGCTTCTGTAGCAGGCTCGAACTTAAACAGAATAATTAGCAGCATAAAATAACTAAACAAAATAACAAAAAGGAAACATTGTAAACGTTTTAAGTAAGGAACAGTTGGCAAACTGCTTGGCACCGCAAGACTGCATCCACAAATTTACCGGATCAAATGAGTAACTATGCAAAGGTAGATCGGTCAGTTTCAATAACACTTAGTCCAGATAAACACTGCAGTATACTTCCCACTTAGAAGAACACGGTCACTACAAGTAGCCTTGGGCAACATTCATTTGACTTCAATAAGAAAAGGCAGGCACCCTGTGGGTGCACAAGGAGCTATGCAGGTTTTTGCAGCCAAAACAAAGTTTTGACTACAAACATGTGGCTCTCAGACTGCTTGTCAACCGAGGCAGCAGCCATGAACTGTGGCACGCCGTCCCACCTGGCTCTTGGCACGAATCCGGATGTGTCCGACCACCGGCGAATCCGGGGAGTTGGGGTTCTTTTCGATGCTCACGTTGGCCAGGGCATCCTCGCCGAAGATCGACCGGGCGTACAGATTAGCCGCCATGAAGCCACACTCGCCGGAAAGTGCCTGCACAGAGTCACAGAGCCAGAAGTTACCCCACGAGAACACACTTCCGCATGCCAATGCTACGTGGCCGTAGCTTTAACAAGGCTACAAATGTAGCCCACGCAGTGCAGCAGTGACTGTTCAGTAAAGCTAGAGATGTCATTATAGCCGCTATGACTCTATGGTTTCTGTGACAGCCATGGCATGGTTGTTCTTCTTTTCATGTTCTTTGGATACAAGTGCTTTCTGCCAACAGGCCTAGGACAAAAGCGATCTCGGTCGGCCTAGTGGTGTTTTCAGGCGGCTCCAAATGGCACCAACGAAGACGAGTGGTGATAAAATGTCCTATTGCGGCCGAGATCAACAGGATGGTGAGATTTCCAAAAGTGGGCAACCTTTTGACATCTTAGCACAACCACAAAATCATGCCAAAAAATGGGGTGGGCTATCTTACTAGGGTGAGGCATCTCTTGGGATACTACAGTACATGTTTTGCACTGCCATTCTTCTTTTTACTAACACTCAGAATGTTAAGCAGGCAACTAGACAATATGGCATTGGATTGTACAGTAGTGGCTTTGAATTAGACTAGAACTAAAGTTTTGAAATGCCTAGAGAAGATCCAAATATCTTATTTTTACTATAAAACCACGCTGTTAAAAAGAAAGATTATCCATCTCCTCTACTGTTGTTTATCTGTTGTGGCACTGTCTAAGGAAGGGTATATATGTCTCCAATATATATTGCCTGTTCACCTAGATATTTTACAGGGGTTACCACGTGCATATGTTAGTATATACACCTAGGCACTAGTACAATAAAAAAATGATTGCTTGAAGGACCTTGTTACAAGCGAGTGTCACCGTCTTATCACGAGTCAAGAAATACCTTTTCTGGAGTGAGGCACTTCATGTTGGTAGACCGGATCAAGTGTTGCAGGTAGGCTGGCAGGTCTGAAAGCGATGTGTTCACTGAAACCTGCAAGGGGTTGCAAAATGCTACCTTCAGTAAAAAAAAAATGGGTTCTAACTGAAATAGATCACTTGCTACAGGTGAAACACAGGATAACCACAGTCAATATCCTGTTGTACTCAATAAACCAAAATCCAAATAAGTAAATGACAAGTTTTTGCACCTTAAATGAGAATGCGCAGGCATCAGAAGGAAAGCTTTAGGGACAAAAACCCATGAAGTGCAAAGGGGTTAAGAAATATACGAAATTTCGAATTGGAATTATATGGCAATTTACTATACCCTAACCAGCTTCTGGTGTCTATGAAGTATGAACCTTCAATATGATTTAAATCCCAGGCAAGCCTGTTCAGGCAAATCTGATTCATTAATAAAAATAAAGAATGACACCCCCTTGGTATTCGAATCCATTCTTTCCAAGTGCTTGATACCCATTCGCAGTATCCAATCGACACAAAGTGTGTTAAAACTTGGTTTTTCAGTACAGACCTTGGCGTTTCCAAATGCCTAGAACAAAAAACAACTTTGGAAAACCAAGACCTAAAAGAACCATAGGGAAACTGCAACACCCCTGGCAAATTTCCAAACATTGCATCTTTGCTCGTACAGCCCCAAGGATGGGAAACTTGCAGTTTCTCCCTTACAAATAAAGGGAATGCCCTTCTTACGTCCGAAAGGTCCACGAACACAGCGAGAGCAGTACAACCGACTCCATTTAAGGCCTGATCACAGATAAATCACAGCATTAGTATAAGCCAACACCACAGGGCAAAGTGCCAACTTTGCACTAAATCAGTGTCTGCTGCTGCGAGGCCTCCCCAAACAACTGACCTTGTTCTCCCACTCAAACTCTGCCCACATCTGCCGGAACTCCGTGTCTGTGCACGACGCCGGCACAATGTAGTCCATGATGTCGATGTGGATGTCGTTGAGGACCACCACGTTGCGGTCGCTCGTGGATCCACTCACGTCGTACACTGTTGCCAGATGGAAAGAAAAAGGCGGATGCATAAAACAAACCTCGAAGCGTAAAGGCAGTGTTTCTATAGCACCCTTCGAAATAGGGGGCTATTTTCTTGCCCAACGATAGAAAGTCCTCCGAGAGCTACACACCTCCCATGTTTACGCCGCTGCTCAATTCAACAACCCTGTGCATGCCACTTGTTACAAAGTTTGGTTATAACAAACACACACGAAGGAAACAACGAAATTCAAGCGAGGCTCATCAAGTTTAAATGCTAGACCACCTATAAGAAACTCCCGACGTATAACAGGCATATGTAGCACAACTTCGAGGTTTGTTATACCGCATTTACTCGCACAATGAACACACTCGCATGATGAATGCACCCCCCACAACGGGTACCAATATTGTTACTTTTTTTCCTCCCCTCGCGTAATGAATGCGCCTCCAATTTTCGACTTCACGAGTTTCGAATTGCGTCCAACTTAGCTAGCCACCGAGCCCACCAAGCCAATTTTCTTTTGCCGCCAAGCGGCCAGGGCAAGTCAAGCCAAGCCAAGCCACTCTCATAATGGCTGCAAGTGTGTAGTTGAGGAAGTAATCATTGTGAAACCGAGCGGCGCGCACACTTGACAAAGCTTGGGTCAAGGAATCGCCCAGCCCCGGACATCCTTCGCCCATCGGATGCATTGGTGTCAACAAAAACGCCGTCGTCTGTGGTCCGCTTTCGGACAGTGAAATCATGAAAGTGGTTAGGCCTAAGAACGATCGCGTCACTCTCCGTGCTGAGTGAGCTTCCTAGGGCGCTTTTCCTTCAACAAAAGGCACGCCGAAAGCGCAATTAAAAGGTTCGCAATTTATAAAGCATGCATACTGTGGCGTGCACCCGACCAGATGTGGGTGTGCCTCCATCAGTGGAGACGTGCCACAGTACCTTACCGTGTCATATTGGCACCTAATATGACATTTGCACGAAGTGAGTAAATGCAGGAATTTTACCCCACGTAATGAACGGACCTCCCAAATATGTGCCGATTTTTCGGGGAAAAAAGTGTGCTCATTATGCGAGTAAATTCGGTAAGTGGATTCCACAAGAGTCAATGACCATTCCTTTCCCCAACTTTCTCGTGGGTGCCGCCATTTTAATGCTTAGTGCAGAGCGGGCACAGTTGGCGACAGTTCCAATTTGAAAATGCGACTTCCGGAATTTTATTACAGTGTCAGGAAGCTCGGGCAATGTTGTGTTTGTCTGTGTAGCGAATTGCTTTCACATTTCTGGAGACTGGAGAAGCATGTTGCGTAATTTCAGATCAAGTTTCGGGGCAACCGGCAACTACGCTTTGAAGCACCAGGACGGCCGAAATGTCATTACCATGAAGCCTAGTTTATTTGACGGCTCTAGGTTGTAGACGCAAGAGCTGGTAATGCAAACGCTGCCTCACCTATGTTGCCGAAGATGATGCCATTCTCCGTCGACGCCACCTTGACGGTGGCCTTGATGTTGCAGAAGTCGTGGGGCGCGAGCACGACCGGTGTGGGCTTCTCGACCAGCTTCAGGTCGCCTGTCGGAGAGAGGAAGCGGAATTCGTAGCAACAATCGGCACCTTGGCGGCACCTTGAAACCCGCACTGCACCTCTAGTACCGAGCTACGGGAATGGTACAGCCTTTGGAAAGACTGAGGTATAATGAAGAAAGAATGCAGTGATGAGAAAAACCCTGCATATTGTTGATATGCTGTCATATTAGAGCCACTTAAAAAATGTTTCCTTGGGGCGGTTTTTTGAGCTACCTAAGCTAAACATATTTTTTAAGTAACTACACTTTGCTCTTCCTAACATACTATTTATTATCTCTAAAATGAAGGTTGTGCCAGAAGGAACATTGAAATTTCACATTTTTGAAAACCGGAGACTACGGACAAAGAAGGGGACAACACACAAAACGTCTCAAATTTAATTAAAATTTACCCGCACTTTCCAGGGGGTGACCTCGCACAAAGTAAAACTTGCAGGTCAAGCAGCCATTCTAAAAAAAAGACAGTATGTTGCACTTTTTTGTTTTCCTTTCCGCTGGCGTGAGCTTCCCCACTTTTCATTTCACACCATCAGATTTCCTGTAACCCATGAGGAGCAGCTGTACTGCCAAAATTTAGGCCCAAATTATGACATCTGCTGTGACATTTGCAGTGTCGTCAATAAAATCTCTCAATAAAAAAAAAAAAAAAGAGGATGAAATAGACATCAAATAAAATTTTTCAGAAGAAAATTATTCTGAATACAGTCTAATCTCGTTAATTCAAACTCGAGGGGGTCCAAAAATTTGTTTGAATAAAGCAGAGTTTGAATTACCGGGAGTTTCTTCCCATAGAAATGCATAGGATGGGACCAGCATGTTAGTTTGGATTATCCAGAAGTTTGAATTAAGAGAGTTTGAATTAACGAGATTTGACTGTATTAAGTTCTGATGTGTCTACTAATGTATCGAACCAATTTTGAGGCAAATCGACGACCATCCCAATTTCGCCGAAGCTTCGCGGAATGCTTCTCCCAGAGCTTCACTCTATTATTAATGATCCGATCCGACATCGGAAAAAGCAGACGTCGGGGTCGGGCTCACCCAGGGTGGCCAGCTCGAGCGTGCAGTTCTGGAGGGTGTCCGCCGTCTGGTTCACCACGAGCACGTCCAGGGCGATGTCGTACTGGTTCACGTGCACATAGGCCTCAGCGTATACCGGGTCCGAGAAGCCAGTCAGCTGGGTGACCTTGGACAGCTTGGATGCCGACAGCAGGTCGCCGGCACCGTCGCGGCGCGGCACCCCCACCGCGGCGTGGAGGCTCACCTCAAACATGTTCTGCGAGCAGACGACCACCCGTCACTCCCGTTTCACCATCTTTCCAGACCTTCTGGTTTCATCGAAGCTGCGCCTACGCCCCGTTTCATGTCAAGCTTGACCGCAGCCGACACCACAATCTGACGGAGACAATAGACCATTTGCTAAATCCTAAAGCGCCCCCGGCCTATATTCGAGGAAACAAGAGAACGGTGTTCTTTCAGTTCCCTAGTGATTGGTAATTTCGACCGATTCAATGCTTGCACACTTTTGAGTGCAATCCAGAATCGCCCTGAAAGAGCATTGTGTAGAGTCCAAAGACCCGTCATATCACTTCTAAAATTTCTCGTCAAAGTCACCAATTTTGATGCTGTGCATGCAATTCACAACTCAACCTGGCTGAGCTGCGAAAATCTCTTACAATATTAGCGTTCACGTGACTGTCGTTTTTGCAGCAAGTGCTTAAAAAGCCAAAAATTTACAATGACAAAAACTGGGATTTAGCTCGGAGCAGGCGGGGCCGTTTATAGCCTTTCAAAGTTAATATCGGCGTCCTTGAGGCTGCGCGAGAAGGACAATATTGCGAGAGATTTCTGCAGCTCAGCCAGGTCGAAGGGTGGTTGGCATGCACCGCACGAAAAACGCCAACAATGACGAAAAGTTTTAAAAGTGCTACTTCAGGCTACACGACGCTTGTTCAGGGTGACTCCGGATCACACTCAAGAGTGTGTAAGCATCGAACTGGTTGGAATCGCCGATCATTGGGGAACCGAAAGAACACCATTCCCATGGTTCTTCGAGTGCGGGCCGGACGCTTGGGGCATTTAGCAGGCAGTCTACTGGGCAACGGTAAAAGTATGTCGTCACAGCGCTCGTCGTCTTTGTGCGCTTGCTCAGTCGGCTAAACCAATACAGTAAAACCTCGTTATAACAAAACGGGATATAACAAACTAATGGATATAACAAAGCAATCATAATTCCCCTTGCTTGCTAATAGTGGGAAGAAATGGACATTGGCTATAACAAACTAATGGTTATAACGAAATAATTACGACCGCTCCTTCAACTTTGTTATAACGAGGTTTTACTGTATGTGCACAGAAAATAGCGCGGGATCGCGTCGCATTCGTTGTGCGTGATCAAAACTCCAACTGGGTTTTCCTTGAGCTCCCAAATTTGCTCGGCCGTCCCTCCCCTGAGCAAAGTGTTCTCCAGTTTTAACCACTATTTCAGCAGGCCTGAGCCACTCATTGACGCACGTTCTGCCTACTGGAGCATTACGCATCTTGAACCACCCCCACCTATCATAGTAAAGGGGTGTCCAAACAGGACACTACAAAACGCATGACTCCGACAAATCGTGAAAATTGAAGCGGACGCGCCCGCTTCAATTTTCACGATTTGTCGGAGTCATGCGTTTTGTAGTGTCCTGTTTGGGCACCCCTTAACCATACAAGCGACACTACATGAAATAAATAAATAGACTACGAGTCCAACGCTCCCAGTACGTGCCTTCTTACACACAAGGTCTGCAAGCTTCCGAACCGTTTTGATGGATCGATGCCGAGGTCGGCAGCCGTTCAAAGCTGACGAGGCTTCCTCGAGGCTAAAAAGTTTGAGAACCTGTCGTAAAGCACGGAGCGTGCGCCCGTGTTTTAAACGAGGGTCCGCACCTTACTCTTGAAACGTTTGAAATATGAAGAGGTAGTAGATCCTGCCGTTGCACTTCTAGTGACTAAGCTGAGAGCTAAACCTTTAGGAGACGACAAGAACATTAATTGACCGCTCGAGTTTCTGATGCAACATTCGATCGACGCAGCCGAACGCTGCGTCAACGCTGCGATGGGGTCCGATCGGTGAAACGCCGACTGAGTCCTGGCCGAACGACGACGCAACACTTGCATACAACTCACATTCTGCACTTAATCAACAGACACAGACGACGAAAGAATCGGGTCGACGGGCCTTTTGTTGGGTAAACGGTGAGCTCCGTGGAAAGCAAGCTGGCCAAAGCACCCCCTGTAGTTCGATCTCCTCACCAATAGGTGAAGGGCATGCCAAGCACCCGCCTTAGCAAACTTCCAAGGTTGCTGAGCTCTTTCGCGACGGCCGTTTCTCCGAGAAGTCGGTGAAAAGCGGCGAGGCATTAGGCTCGACTGTCTGTGCAAAGCGGTAAAGCTCGACGCAAGAACGCTAGCGCGAAGCAGGCTCGACAAGGGCAGTGCAACCACTTTAGACGTTAGGAGTTCCGCCAGACCCCTGTAATGCTCCCATATCGTTTTGTCGAATCGAATGAGGGCCTCTTCTGCTTCTCTGCTCCCGGACCTAACAGGCACCCATTTCCCATTGTTTGTGTTTACCTCCACATTTTGTGTGGGCACTTGCTTAGTACCCTATGGTAATCAGCTAAACTGAAGCCATCTTATAGCACTAACTAGATTAGTGTTGCCAGTTGCAACCAGGTTTTGCCCACATATTAGCTCGTGAGAAACAACCACTTAAGTCACCTCCGTGCCGGCAACGCTGCTCTTGGACGCCAGTTGTCCAAACGAGATGGGGTCATCGGCGTGAATTGTGACACCTTTGACCTGCTTTGCCTGCAAAAAAAAAAAAAAAACACAAAATGCTCAGAAATGTAGAGAACTTAAAAAAAAGAAATGCTCAGAACTTCATTTATCGGAAGTATGCTTTGGCATTAGTAAATTATTTGGCAAGTTTACCTTCTGAGACTCCAGCTCTTCCTCCATCTTCGCAGCCAACATGGCAGAGAGGGCCTTGCGGCACTCAGAGCCAAAGACGGTGTTCAGGGTTGCTGACTGATCCGACAGGATTTTCAGGCACAGGCAGATGCGATCGGCGTCATCGTCATTGATCGCCTGCGTCGAATTCGACATCAGGAAATTAGCGAGCGAGCAACGAGGGTGTTATTTTCTACTTCCACAAGGGAGTGTCATGGGCACACAAGAACAGTATGAAATGAGCCACACTAACAAGGACAGGCAGTCTGTAGCCACATTCAGTTATAAAACCAAAATATAGAGCTAAGCTCATATTTTGAACTTGAAACGTTCGAAATATTAAGGCAAGCTGATTACAAAGATACTGTCACGTGCCACGCCAAGTAAAAGATGAGAAAAAGGAAGCTACACACCTTTGTTGGCAGTCCAGACTTCCCGAGATGCAGTACTGAAGTCATGATGAGCATACACTCGGCAACAAAGGCCTGAAAGTCCAGAGTTAAGAAGTTACAGCTGTGCTACAGCGACTATAAGTAGTACCACAATGCCACACCTAAATTTGGATGGCATAGCAATCAATGCTTTGTACGCTCTACCTTGGGTACTTTTAGACGAACCCAACCTAACACAGCTCAAAAATGTGTCATCGAGAAGTTAAAATGGAAGAAAAACCGCTGTTGTAGCTCATTTTGTTACTATAAATGCCTTTTCTTTACTTTGTGCTCAATGTATTACATATCTGACCGCTTGGAACATTGTACAGGCACTAAATCTCGTGTAGATGGATAGGTCGATGAACAAAATAAAATTATCAGTGTTTTGCGAATATTCAAAATTTAGAATAGCAGTTTCGAATAGCACACTATTCGACATTCGCTTTGAGGTCAACTGCAATATTCATATTTCTGAAATTGCTGATCCCGGCGGGTTAGCCTCATTGAGAGCGCTTCTTGCCGAGCACCGGTGCACTGTGGAGAAGCGACACCCACGGAAGCGAGCTACGCGGGTGTTGCTTCTTTGCAGTGCACCAGTGCTCAGCAAGAAGCGCACTCAAAGGGCTAGCTCGCCATGATCAACTCTTTGAAAAATGTGAATATAGCAATTGCGTGCTTGGAAGAAAATCACACATTCAAAGCGGGATAATGCACGCGCACTCCCGATATATTTAAAAAGGAACGGAAACATTGTGAATGATGATATCCACATTGCCGTAAAACTTTCAAAATTAAACTGTGGCTCAAAATTAAGCTGCGGCGTCATACTTTTCTTCCTTCTTCATATTCAATATTGAAGAAAGAATATTTGAATATAGCAAGATTTGTGAATCCACTCAATTACCCCCATTGTAGCTAAGAATCTATACATTTAATTTTATATAAAATCTATCGTTAACTTGTCATCCTAAGGCTTTCTGAGGTAACAGTTCATAAATATACTTAGATTAAAATTAGCTTATAAATGGACAAGTGGGAGCTTAGAAGTTACCATCAAAAGTTAAACTGGGGTTTCATTTATGCAAGGTGCAACAGTGGTGAAAGGCCTGGAGAAACTATTTGATATTCGATTCGAAAATATTCGGCCAAAACCACTATTTACTTTGAATTCGCTTCGAACTCAAAATCCACTATTCGCACATGACTAAAAATAACAGCTTGCAACCTTTAGCTGCTTGCAAAGATTGGAAGTTTTTCACAAAAGTATTTTTCGAAACACTTTTTCTTTTTATGTTGCTGCCTGATGTAAGGACAGTTTCTAAAAGTAATGTGGCTTACATTTTTCTTGCGCGGCTCATTCACCAGAGCGACATAACGGACAGCCAGTTTGGTCAAATCCGAAGCCAAGGCCGCTCCGACAAAGAAGTCGCCTTCCATGAGGTAACCACGCAGAGGAGGATGTTTGGCAGCTGCAAGGCAAAGATTCCTCACCCACCGATACCTGCTTGTTGGTGAGGAGCCACCGGTGTGCAAACACTCTGGAGACGCTTTGTCCGTTCTACATATTTTTTTTTGCCCTGGTCTTCTTCAACAACACAAGCTCTTTTTTCCCAAGCTTTTCAAGTACTGTATCCCTTTCCATCCTACCCTGTTCCTAGGGGAGCAGCCTCTAATATCAATTGTCCGTCTTTTAGCTTTTTTAGAAAATATTGCGATTTTACACAGACTGCAGCAGAAATAATTCCTTGGCGCATTGTTTCTAGTTCATTTTAGTTTACCTAGTTTGGCGCAGTATGGCCATCGTAGCTCTTGTGCCATAAAACCCACAAACAACAACAACAAGGCAAAGACACCGCATTCAGCAATTAGTGGCAATATAAAACTTGTACTCCACGACTTTACGATCAAAAAGAAAATGTTAATGGCCAAAATAATTTTTAAAATATTTTTACATCAGGCATGCAAGCTCACGCACTGTGAGGTTAGGCCAGTCGAAGGCTGACAGAGGGGGACAAAGGCCTTCCATGCTGTTCTTTGAGGACACAAGATGTTGCTATAATTTTTGCCCAGATTCACAAGGATATCAATATTTAAAAAAAAAAAAAAGTGGCACCAACAAGAGACTTGACTGCAATTTGCACATTAGCAGCAGAGATTAAAAAATCCTTGCACCTCAACCCCTTGATTCTGCTTCAAGAGAAAACAAGGATCAAGCCAGAAAAAAAAGTGAAAGTCGTTTACCACTCCCTGTAACGCCGAATTGGAGCGCAGCTCTTGAGGAGGAGGAGGGGAGGGTACTGAGGGCCACGTGTTCTCGGGGGGGGGTCACGTGACCCCCCCCCCGAGGGCACGTGACCTTGGTGGGGTCACGTGGGGGCAAACACGTGCCCCCTCAGAGGTCACGTGACCTCGGGAGGGGGTCACGTGACCCCCCGGGTCACGTGACCAAAATTTTTCCGCTAGATTTAGCGGGGAAATGTTTTCCGCTAGATTTAGCGGGGAAAGTTTTCCGCTAGATTTAGCGGGGAAATTTTTTCCGCTAGATTTAGCGGGGAAATATTTCCGCTAGATTTAGCGGGGAATTTTTTCTGCTAAATCTAGCGGGGAAAATTTTTACGCTAGGTTTAGCGGAGAAATTTTTCCGCTAAATCTAGCGGGGAAATTTTTCCGCTAGATTTGGCGGGGAAATTTACCCATAATGCACCGCGCGGTTACGCCGACGCCGACGGCGACGGCGACGCTGCTCAAGCCGGAAACGGGCCCCTAAGAGCTGCGCTCTAAAACACCAACCACTGGTGGCGCAACTCATTGCGCAACGTTTATGTTCTGCCGTAATTTATAATAAAAAAGTAGGGAACGTTTTTCGGTGTATATTTATTTTTCAAAAGTCGGTTTACTCTGGCGATTTGTTTCGTTTGGAAGCTTAAAAACTAGGATTATTGGCAGAAAAAAAACTCACGAGAAACTAAGAGCTCAAGTTTCTTTCAGAATTTGTATATGTTGTTACAACGCTTCACAGTTATCTCAACGAGCTCTTGCAATCCACGGACAATGGGACCAAACGTGGGCCGAAACCAAAGTCCAAGTATTCTCTAATGCAAATCATCCGAAGCTTCTCATTTTTTTTTTTTTTTACTTACTTAAGAACTTACTTGAGAACAATTAATTCATTTTCATCTCGCGGACCAATAACCCTCCGGGTCCGTCAGATGAAAATTAATTAATTGTTCTCAAGCAAATTGTTTCTACCACGAGTAAGGCAAGTTGCTCTTGCTTCTTTCACAAGATTCAACCAAAAACGACCACCAGTGAAGTTTCGAGCACTGTCGTCCAGCACAAAGCTGAATGGAACAAAGACATTGCGACGATCCTCGGTGTCCGACTAATGGACCTATAGACCTTTTCACCCTCCGTGGCATGGGCGCTGCCATCTTGGAATCACGTGATGCGGCCGCCATTAGGTTGCTTCAACTCGTCGCTTCGCTCTCCTGTCCGCGTCTTGGCGGATGCATTGAATTTGTGTTTTTCGTAGCGTTTCACCGCGTTTCTTACCTCACTCTGTAAAACGTTGTCCAATACTTATATAGTTACCGTGTAATTGCATTACATGATTATGTGAGCAACTTCCGCAGTTAATTTTGTAACACGTTATGACTATTTTTATCGTCGGCGTGCCGGCTACATGTGAAGAGGTTATAAGCACATGAATCCGCGTGAGCGCTCACGCACATTGAACACATAGATGACTCTAAAACAGCGGAGGGGTTCAAAAGTCAACAACTTATGAGAACTCGGGTTTGCTTACTAATAGTGGCGGAACATTTGCAACAGGAAGCACAATGTAAGTATATAACGATGGCGTATTTGGGATCACAAGTAAGGTGACAAAATAATCAGTGTAAATAACCACGTATTTCCTGAAAGCATTGTGTTTTGTATTTATAACAGATCGAAAACAGTGCCTTATGATTACGTAGGTGAAATCGTGGACAGGATAGGTAACAAACGTTTAATTTTAATTTGTTGTTTTATGCAAGAAATAATGGTGCGTCAACATCAGGGAATTTGTTTGTTGACAATATCACACTAACATCTGTTCGATGTTCTTAATCGTGTCTGCTATACAAACATTCCCCTGATCGGTTTATTTATGAATTCGGAGAAAGTATACTGTGCGTAATTAGGGAAATGTCTACAGTATTTTAATTGCAAAACTATTTTGTTAAGATAACCAGTTCAATTAATTCATTTCAACACAAAGGTTTTGACTTCCCGCGTAATAAACTGTCACAGACAGCTTGAGAGTGCCCGGGGTCCACAATATGTGACGCTGAAGAGACTCCGTCTGCACTAAAATCGCATGAATGCAGCATGGTCGACGGCGAATATAGATTTACCTTTAGCAGCTGGCGACGCCGAAATCTACGAAGCGCATCGGTTCAAACCAGTAAAGAGCTTTCTACACAGGTTCACTGCGAGGCGCCTGGCGCTCGACTTCAGCCAAACTTACCAAAAATCACTTCTTTTGCGGCCTTTAATTCCATCTGGCTAATTTTCCGGGAGAGTAATGTCAGGCATCATTTAAGGGGCCTGTCACTTATTTCATACCTCGAAAACGTCGTAAGCAAATCTCCATATAACAAATAGTTATTTTATCGGGCCAATATCATAAAATCTTGTTAATGAGTACTTTGGTTTAAGAAAAAAAAATTTAGTGGGCCTAGGTTGGTTTATTAAAATATTTCTCGAGAACTTGATTTATTTAAATAAAGCAGGCCGAGAGAATAACAGTTTTTTGTTATATATTATCTACGTCATTACAGGAGACTTCCAGTCTGTGAAGTTCAATAGTTGGTGTACGAAACACAAACTGTAAACTTGCCCTTCATATGTTTTTCGTGATTCGGTACATTTCTAATCATGTAGTGGACCTGCTTCTTCACTAAGCACTCATGCATTATAGTCTGTTACAATATAAGATGAGCAGTCGAATCTCTGACATGAAGTCGAGTCCTTCCATACCACTCGGTGCACACGCAGCCAAAGCCCGACGGCAGGCAAGAAGCGCGTGCTGGACGCGGAGCTTCTCCTGCTCTTTATTTATTTATTTTTTCTAGCAACTAGCGCCCGGTAATCATCTCTGTGCACGAGAGCAGGTGTTGCACCGCCGAACAAAGCCGAAATTGACGATTGGACGTAATCACACGCATCTGGTGTTCATAAAAGTGCTCCTAATTTAGGCTCGAAACCACCTCGTGGTTCTCCAAGTGACTCAGCATCATTGTGTCATTTGCTGTGTTGCACAAGAAAGAAATTTGTGTCACAAAATTAAGCAAAAATGGCTTGAAACAGCAACACAATCGCGTGCACGTTGGAACCGAAACCAACCAAATTGAAGCAACCTCATGGCAGCGAGTGCACCAGCGCCCTCTACCCGACGGTCAGCCAACTACTCAAATGAAAAGGTCTATATCTCATTCCAGTGTCCAAGGTAAGTGATTCCAGTGATTCTGGACTGACAGGTTGCAGTAATTTGTTTCAAGTTAAGAGTATGCGCGCCCTACGAACGTCTAAGGGAGGGATTAGACAAAAACAGTCCTCGCTTAGAAAAGAAATTTCCCCAAATCTGTTTTTCAGTTTCAACCGATATTGTATTTCTGACACTGATGGATGTGCATTGGTGTCCTTCGATCCAAACCGGAAAGTTTATGGCTTAGATGCATCCAGATTCATGTAAGATTCCACCTTGTTACTAAAGGTTTCCAGTAACAAACATTAGTTTGTAGAAAAAAAAATGTGTCGCTCATTTTAGGCGTGTTCTTACCCTGTGCAGCGGCAGATGCCGGTGCAGCGCTGAACGCGCTCTGCGTCGCGTACGTTCCGTCTGCCGTGACCAGGCGCTGCACCGTGCCCGTCATGGCGGCGTCTTCCTTGTTCTCCTGGTCTCCTCCCGACACTCTCCTCAGCTCAGAGTCCACCATCGGAATCTTTCAAAGATTAAGCAAAAAATTTTAATCCGCACGTCGACAGTCTCTTGGCAACGTAGCTGCAAATGAATCCGTAATGTGTCATTTGATTCTTGGGCATCTATGCAAGCACGTTCAAGGCTGGTTCAGACATCTGCATTTGAGTATGACTGAGTGCGTTACGACAGCTTACGACGTGACGACAACCTGGCGTCATCTATCCAGTGGTCATGGAAGTCTTCCAATTCGCAGGTATTTTAGGCTTCCATACTTTGACCGTGGGCTGAAAGAATTCTGGCAACAGCATAAGCAAATTTTTCTCGCAGATGGTGCGTATATTTGAGCTCACCGCAAAACCTCCACCCTAGTTCGGGGCCAGCGTGTTCTCTCATTGCAAGCGGCTACAAGCCGTCCTATGGCAATCAATCACACCCAAATGCAAATGTGCGAACAAATTTTTATAGGCTAGTAAACAGATACCACCTTCCAAGTTGTCACACATCAATGTCACCAGTGGAGCTCCAACAGGAGTTTCACCACAGATTTGCAATATCTTGACGCTGCACTTCAGTTTGCTTTATCACACGTATAAGGTCTCTTTTAGACAAACATGAAAAAAGAGCATCTGTGAGCCCTAGCCACCAACTAGAAGACCGAACCCCTTCGAGCTTATCGCGGGAAACTTTACTTGTAACGCTATTCCGCGAACATAAGATGAGCAGCCAAACGTGCCGAGAGGAAATTCGAAAGCGCCCAAGGCAACTCACCTCCCCGAGAGCCTGTCTTATCTCGGTCATGAAACTCTGGATGTCCTCCACTGTCGTGCAGTACTCGCCGAGCAACCAGAGTGCTCCACGGTGGATTCTGCAACAATTCAAGAGACTTGTCTTCTCGTCGTGGACCGTTTTGCACCCTTTATATTTCTTAATTTCTTCGGTGCTAAACGATATCGGCAACTACTGGAACTCGGACTACTATTAAATTTGAAAATGTATTGCCTGCTGCACATGTCAAAATTGTCAGGAAGCTCTTAGCCCCATAAGTTCAATCAAGTTTGATGCTCGTTCATTCCAAGAGACCGAACTCTAGATAATAGTACAGCTTTAACAGTCTGAGTTCGGACGACCGGAGCAAGACAACCAAACTGCATATACCATATTTACCCAATTCTAGTTTGCAATTAGCTCTTGTGCCCAAAAGTAACAATTCTAACACGTTCTCGATGCACTTCTTTCTTTAAAAAGGCACACTACAGGCAGGTGTAGTACACTCTATCTCAAGATCTGTGTGGAATGGTGGCAAGTGCGGACACTGCCTTTGCGTGACTGTGCTTGCAAGACAAAGCCTAGGGGCACCGGATCCCTGCAATCTTACTTGGAGGACTTGATGGTTGAGAAGACCTCGAGCAGCTTGGAGACGATGAGCCCCCGCAACTGGTCGAAGCGCTGCATCGCTTCTCTCACAAAGACGAGCACGTCGGCGGCAGCTTGTTCGTTTGTGTCCGACAGAAACTCCATCAGCTGGTGCAATGAGAAGACGAAGAAAGCCTCGTTAATAATCGAAGCTAACAAGCCAGGGAGAACTATTCTCACCACACTAAAACAAAATTTAAAGTCCTTTTTTTTCTCTTTTTTTTCATGCAACGAATTTTGGAAAATTAAGCGTTAGAGGAGAACTAGAATTCGAACAATGCAATCTCCGCGCAATTTTTTAAACCGGCATAAGTGAGCACGTAAACAAGGAGGCTCTGCAAGTTTTGGTGGGGACCAGCCCTTCTCTCTTCCTTTGGCTTTTAAAAGAAAGTAGGGGAGTTTGTCTGGACCTTATGTGGAGCACAAGTTTATCTACTTCTTTTGCAGAGGTTGTGGCGACGTCAGATTACCAAACTCCGATTGGCTCTGATCAAAGGTAGTGGGTAGACCTCAAAGGAAACTGCCTCAAGTCCCACCCATCATCTTTCAAGCAGGGCCAATCAAAGCTCGGCGTTCTGACGTCACTGCAACCTCTGCAAAAGAAGCAGACGAACTTGCGCTTCGCATGAAGCTGGGACTCGTGCCTCACGACACCCAGACCCGTTTCACGAATTCGAGGGTCGTAGGGTGTCGGCGATTCGTCGGTCGCCAAACATGCAAAAGTGCAAGGAAGAAATGGCGCACGTGCTCACCACGGGAATGATGGCGTGGGCGACATCGGGGAAACGGACGCAGGACGAGTGCAGCGTCCGCACCAGGAGCTGCCGGTACTTGCCGGTGTCCTCGTGTTCTACCGTGTTGTGGGTCTTGGTCACCTCCTTCTTCAGCACCAGCACCATCTGTGAGGTCGTCGGACGTGGCAGGCACACCAACGAGATGGAAATTTAGCGATCCCACGTGAATTCCCGGTATGGTCACGATGACGGCCACCGCACCCTATACGGAGCATGCGACACCTAAAGGAGGCGTGCCGGTCCGACCAATGTTTCCGCCAAACATCTCTTCTGGGAGCTGCACCGCAGCGCCACGGTCTCGTCACACGCTTCGCACTGCCACTCCGCAGCCAATCAGATCGTGGCATTACTCATTATGAACGCCAAAGAATGAATCGGGCAGCGAGAAGCATGAATAGGACAAGCCCTGCCGTTCTCACTCACCAAGTAAGAACGCCATAAGAAGGTCACTGCCCGATTCTTTCTTCGGCGTTCATAATGACGAATGGCGCAATCTGATTGGCTGCCGAGTGATAATGAAAACCGTGCAACGAGACAGTGGCGCCGCGATGCGGATCCCAGCAGAGTCGTTTGGGAGGAACATCATTTGGATTGGCGCACCCCTTTTAGGTGCCGCATGCTCCCTATCGGACCCTAAAGTATCCTTACACATCTTACACTTTACGTGGACGAACCGTCGCCAACGTCTGCTCGGAGAGCGACACGCTCGTTCTTTTTATGAGCACAGAACGCCTCCGACAGACGCGGCGCAAGACTCGCTAGCGGGTGCTGTGCGCGACTCGTGCGCGCAGCTGTCTTCGACACGTGTGGTTTGCTATCCGGCGCATCGAAGCAGCCGACATGGCTCTGCGGTGGCGCACTTGCTTCACGTTCGACGGACCCGGGATTGATTCGTAAGAAAACTGCGGCTGGTTTCGGGATCTTGCTTTTTCGAGCATTCGGCAACGTCGACGACGGACGCTCAACAATTACGATGACTACATCATTTCGAATTTGGGGGGGGGGGGGGGGGGGGAAGCTCATAACAGCTATCACTGTAAAAAAGAGTACAACGGACGTGCAAAGATTTCAGAGCCAATGTTAAACAATTTGCACATTCGTTACGTTTATGATGGGGAATGTGTCGCCGAGAGCGGCTTTCTCACCTCTTCCACGTTCCTGGACGAGACAAGGTCCAGGGCGAGGTTCAGGGTTTTCTTGCGAACCTCGAGGTCGGATGCGGCCAGAACTCTCAGAATATCCATGACAAGGTCCTAAGGCATGCAAAGAAAGGGTGGTCATTCAATGGGCAGCGACACCTTTGGAAATGCTCCTCCAGAGCAGAAATTTTCAAGCTTTTTGCACCTCAAGGAACACTTAGCTCTCTTGATTCATAGCCAAGGAACACCTTCAAGGCTTGATGCAATTAAGCGGTGTTAAAGAAGCTTACTCTCATTATAAATGTTGATGAAGGTTAATAGAGAGCATTTGGCAATGGGTGACTCAAAGTTGCAATAACAATGCCTTCAAGGGGAGATGCAGACCGAGAAACGGCAATAGTTTGCAAAAAATATGATTTTGAGTCTTACGGTCTTTTATCACCTTTGAATCTTCCTATATTATGTAAAAAAATAATAAGTTTTGATTATGGATGCGAAATTTGTCAAAAACGCATTTGAAGAACTTTCTGCAACACAGAACAGCATTAATCTGAGCCATTTTCAATCACGCAGTTCTTCGAATTGTGATGTCGTCCGCCAATGTTCACATTTATGTTGAGAAGTAGGCCTAGCCATCTTCTCTCCAACGCACTCTTCTGTAGCTTCAATTTCTCACAAAAAGTATTAACAAAAAAAATTATTTTTTTTATGGCAAAAGAGTGTTCCACTACATCTATGGTGATATTCAAACACATTTTTCTCTTTATGTAATTTTGGGGTATCTTCACAGTGTACGCACAAGAATGTTTGGTTTTAATATTGTCGTACCACAGCCAAATTTGGCATGCATATATGCTTCAGGATATGTAGAGCGTAACTATCAAGGTTTGGTTAGAAAGTATATTTTTTATGTGTATAAAAAATTTAAGAAACTCTTGCAGTGATGGTATTGCCCATAAGCTTTGTGAAGCAAATGTTGTAGCAGAAAAAAAAACAATTTTGGAGCAGGCACTTACATTTTTGTAACAGGCATTCCTTTTATCTAAAAAACCTTACACACCATTATTCACAAATATAATACCCAGCATGCGGTCTCCACGGCTCAGCACGCGCATGTACGTCGCTGCAAAAAGCGAGCAAAGCATGCGCCATATGCACTAATGCTGAAAATGGCACCTGCCAGCCGTTTTCAGGCAGTTCAAGAATCGTACAAGAAACAGATGGTGCATGTCCAGTGAAAAGAGCAGATTTCCAACTGATCTGCCCATCACCCAAATGGCATTTGACAAAACACGCTTTGACATGCATGTGCGGTTGGGAGTTTACCCTACAACCTCCAGTAAGAAACACTTTTGCACGTGCGCCTGCTAGCCTGCCGCCGTGCGTTGAGAGTTATGGCACAACCCCAGCTTTAGAAGCATTAAAATGATGATGGAAGTTCTGTGTCTACCCTGGTGCATGTCCCCTTGATCTGGAAACACAGTTTACTTGAGGCCTTACATAGGGGCTGGGACTTTCGTCACGTTGTAATTGAGCAGCTTTTTGTCCCAGTTCCTCGTTGTCACGCGCTTTTACCGCATGACGGCAAATAAATTGATTTTATTTGAGACGGTCGAGGAAATTTGGGAGCTCGAGAACCCACGAGTCTGGGAAACCCCCGCGTTTTAAGAACCCAGTTTGAGAACCTATGCTCTAAAGCTTCTATCGCACGCACCCTTGCATCTTGGAACAACTTGTTTAGAAAGGTAGAGAAGGCCTCCTTGTGCAACAGATTAGTGCGTGCCCTTCTAATTGAGGAGCACCAATGTCTCTTCTCTCTAAGACTTACAAATCGTGCATGATTTATGCCAAAAGTATGCCGCTAGAAATGGCTTTGCCCTCTCTCTCTCTCACCTGGAGTATCCTCTCGTGAGACGGGACATCCTTGAGGGCAATGAGCCTGTCCAAGACAATCAGCTTCACGTTGTTATCGCTCTCCTTCACGATGAGCTCGATGTAGCAGCTCGCCGCAGCCTGAAACGGACAGCTGGCTACGCTTTCAGAAGCTTGGGGGAACGAACGAAAGACATCAGAAATGCATTGCTGGCGTTCTGGAATGGAAACTAGAGATGGCAATCCTAGAACACTGCACCAATCTTTCCATTCAAGCAGTGCAGTTTCGCTTTAGGACTTGGTGTGGGAAGCATTATGACCGCAAAATCTTTGCATGGCCCTTTGAGACTGTCAAAGCAAAATTTTCTAGACTTCGTTCCTAGTTAATTGTGAAAGTAATGAAAAATGATAGGGAATGCAAAACAAGGCCGTCACCCGCGACGCAGACCCGAAAGCTCCCATCATCTGAAGCTCAGCACTATGTTGAAACAGTCCGTCACGGAGCAAATCCATATTGTCCAAGATTCCATGACACTGTATCTAATGATCAGAGAGTTTTCGAATCGCACTGGACTGAGTACCAAGATGGTGGCACCCACATGGAAAATCGGGGGAATGGAGTGTCGACACCCTGAGTATAGCTTACTTTGGGGCTCTATCTTCCCCCAGGGTCAGACACACATCCAGGCACCGTAGTGGCGACGGCGACATACTCACTTTGATGGCAGTGGGTGCGGTGGACAGGGTGACAAGGGTGCCAGCCGCTTCGTAGCGCACGGCCGGACTGTTCGAGTTGAGGAGGTTGTAGATGCAGCGGATGAAGCGAGAACGCTCCGCGGGATTGGCGTGGCACACCTAGATGGGAAAACAGAAGCCGTCTCGTATAGACCCGCAGCCGATAACGACCGCCGTAAAACACCAAGCGCGCGCCCATGTCACACGATAAGCGCTTACCCCTTACTTATGAAGCATTTCAAAGGTTATCGAAGGACATATCAAAATGCCCGCTCCCCTATTTTAAGCAAGTTCAAAAACACACAAAGGACACACCAAGCGCCCAGTGGCTGTGGGCGGCTGTTATCTCCAGGACTGGCGGACAGCACGGGTTAAGCGACGAAATGGAAGGACAGGGGTCATGGGGCGCACAGTCGGAAGGAGGCAGAAACTGCTAGCGATGAATGGGTTGCTTTTTGTTTCAACTAAGAGTCATTCGAAGGCTTTAGTGACAGGACTAGATGGTGCGTAACCGACCACTTTTAAATTTTTCTCAATAAACCATTTACCGCATTCAATCACATGATGAATGCAAACCCTTTCCCCCCTCCCTCCCACAAAGGTCCTCAACATTTATCTTTTTTTCCCACACAACCACCAAGTAAATTAGGCCACAAAGCAGCCAGGCCAAGTCAAGCCAAATCAACCATGGCAGCATGTGCGCGCGAGTTACGGCTGCAACTGGAAAATTGTGGAAGCGATCAACAGTGTAACTGAGCGGCGCGCTCGGTCAACAAGAGTGGGGTCGATCATTCGGAATTGTTTTCTACGTCAAACGGGTTGATCTCAACGAACATGCCGCGGTCTGTCGTCTGTTTTCGGACAGTAAAATTGTGAAAATGGTTAGTCCTGGGAATGGTCGCGCCGTCTTGTGCTAAAGTGCCGCCGATGCAAAAACTGTGTTGAGCGTTGTAGAGCCCTTTTTTGTTGGGGAAATAAATGTCTACATTGTTTTTACTTGTTCATTCACTCGACTAAAACGACGGCCATTCTGAATTCAGTGGCCGGACCAAGCAAGGGCCCACCCGACTGTGTGCTTCTTATGCATTTTTGCTCTTGGATCTAGCAAGTACCCATCCCTTAAGTTTCCATGATAATCTCCCAATTTCGGTGGGCGCTTGTTCAGTATTTCTATTGCACCAGATACTAAAGACAACAAGTTAAAATGGGACAATCGAAACAAACTTTTCTTTCAGCCTCAAGGGAAAAGTCAAGTATATAAAGGCATAACCACCAAACTTTCCGCTGTAGTATAATGTGACACAAATGCACCTTCAGATTGCGATACAATTCAATCGACATTATAATAGGTATAAGGGGCATACCACTGATTTAAACTTTATGTTTTTGCTACAGATACCAGTCGCTTAGAGGTCAGTAGATACGTCCACCTCCTTCACATACTTCACCTGGAGCTGAATGCACTTGCACCACCTGTGTGGCAGCCTTTCCATGCCCTGCCTAAACCATTTTATGGAAGTGCATTGCACCCACACCTGGACAACTGCTTCTAGTTTATCGATGACTATAAAATGGCAGCATCACAAGTGTTTATCATGGCCCCGATCCGGTGATAACCACTGGGGGCCAGATCAAACCATACACATACACAACCAACTGCCAGACGGGTTGTATGATGCATAGAAAAGACGGCCAAACTCAACAAGGCACAGGGTAAACACTTCAAGTGAATTCATGCAACGCCTTGATTGACCAGTGCCTGGTTGTAGGAGGAGAAAACGAAGATTAGCCAAGGCTGCCTGCTTTGGTTGGCTACTCTAAGTTAGGCAAGGTAGGTGCAGTTGGAAGAAGTAAAAGAAAAAGGAGGGGAGACGTAGCTTGCTTGCAGCTCATACACTAGCACTACCATACAATTCCGTATGGACACCTTCCCGCGAGACATTGCTTATCCCATTTTTCTGGCAAATTATCTATAGGCTAAAAAGCTTCGTCGCCCATCCCCAATTTCAGACGGATCAGCCACACGATTTGCGGTATCGGTATGTGCGAGAAGCGAGCTCAGAGCAGGTTCTCGCATGTTTATCGCACCACGAAACCCGAATCAGCTATGTTCGTGAGTTGCGCCTGCAATATTGGTTACCGAGTCATGCAAGTTTGTAGAGGGTTCCCGCGTCTTTATAGCATCGTGAAACATTAATTTTTTGCATCTGCGAACTGCGGTATCGGTTCCCTTGACAGAGAGAAGCTTGTAGCAAGTTTCCAAGTGTTTGTCACACCAAGAAACGTGAATCTGCCGTGTCTTCGATCTGCGGTATCAGTTTCTCCTCCATGTGGTCAATAGTGGGTGCCTGTTTTTCGGTAATTTTTTATAAACTTCTGCCGTCTCATTTCCAAAGATCGCCCACCGGACATTTTCCACCACTTCTCTCTCCAAAACCGGCGGGCGTTTTTACGGGAGTTTATGGTAATCGAAAAAGGTGTGCGCATGCAATCGTAGCATTAGTAGAGCTTCTGAAATGTAACAAAGACAAAGAGACTCGCTCCTTAGTGAACAGCCCTAGATTGGAGCGGGCAAAGCCGGGCCTCGGACGAGCAAAAGACAAAACTCACCTTGTAGATGAGCTCGACGATGACCAGCTGCAGGATGTCACCGAAGGTGTGGACCTGGTCGATGCACGAGTCCAGGTAGCTGAGCGCTCGCTCCTGGTCGACGTGGATCAGCATCATAAAGGCGTTGCGCTTGCACGACATGTCCATCTCCGTCTCCAGGAAGTTGGACATGAGCTCCGGCGCATCCGGAATCAGGAAGTCGAAGCTCCTGGACCGTGCAAAAAGAGGCAAGCGGACGACACACAATGTACAGAACTTAAGATTGGTTTTCACATTAACGTTCGAGCACTGCCTAGCAGGTGGCAATAGAACAATACCGACCCATGTAAAACTGGACCGAACGTTCTGCAGTATTTGTGGGACCAAATTTATGCACCGTTCGGAAAAAATGGTACCTTGCAGTATCGCCAGAATTGCTTCAAGCACACAAAGAAAGAATGTTGTATAACACATATGCAGATCTGAAGTGTTCAGGGCTAGCCAACGAGGGGCGGCAAGTCTGTCTTCGCGTAAGAAGCGGTTGGAAGCACTTCCCACGCACACACAACCTGGCAGACAGTGAAAGCTATGGCCCCAGCGAGCCAATCAGAAAGCTGTAGCGAGGCACATTATGATGCGTCATGAGAGTGCGGTCGTCCCGAGGAAAGCTGTCTCGTGATACGCTCCTTCGCTCCAGTTGGCCCGACAGGGTCCTAACATCAACTTTTTCTGAAGTTACGCTAGAACGGAGGATGGGCCATCATTTACATGTAGAGCTCATTGTGCAAGGTTTGAATTTGGAATTTTAGACTGAAACACGAATGAGCATTTCGGCTCTTTGACACAACTCTCTCAGATTCTGAAACTTTGAACTGTATTTTAGGGTTACAAATAAAAATAAAAAATGCTTTCCATAAAAATGATTTGCACAAAGGAAACTTAGTTTGAGACTTGGGATCGTTTTGGCTAGTTCATTTTACCACCAAATTTCTAGCCCCCATCATTGTTGCCTTTACCTGTGCTACCAAACATCTTTTTTTTTTTCTCTTTTCAAATGGATCTAAAAAAAGATGTTTACATATTTTGGGGGAAGAATCGGCAAAAATTGGTGTTTTGAACCCCATTTGTGGGTTTAAGTTCTGACCAAGGAAATTCTGCAAGTAAATGTCACCTAAGATTGGACTTTAACGAATAACAAAGACTCGTTAAACATAGGACTTCCGTACCCAAATGTGGTAACATAAGTCAGCGTTCGTTATAGATACACAAAATCCGCATGCGTCGTTGAAATTCTCCACTGCGTTTTTAGTGAAAAGCAAAGAAACACCGTGAGACAATGCAACGCAAATGATGCAATAAAAATCACAATTCTTTAAATGCCCTAATTGTTGTCATTCAGTGTCACACCGTGACCTACTACATGCTTCAATGTGCAAAAACTTTCACAAAAAGGGTCGACAAGCAAAGAGGTAAACATTGATACTCCACCCACTTGTAGATGGTGAAGATGGCGAGGACAGCGTTGCGCCGCACGTAGGAGTGTCTGTGCTCCAGGCAGGCTCGGATGGCAGGCATCAGCGGCTCCAGAAGCTCAGCCTCCTTCAGCTTGCACAAAAACCTCAGCGTCGAGCCGCGGATGAACTCGTTCGGGTGCTGAAGGTCCTGCATCAGTTCAGCATTGCCAAACGAAAACGGGGTGCGAGAATTATCGAAAGCAGCTACGACTGTTTACACTGCCGTGCAAGAGGATAGCCAGCAGGAGCATCTTCAAAAAAGCGTCTAGAAACCATGCAACAATATTGAATAGGAGTTTTTCTCACTTCTTACAGGCTTACTGACACCAGTGGGATCCAAGTATACTCGCACACAACGCGAATGACCAAGAGGCTTCTTTGTCGCCACATAATTGTAGGAATAAAAGCGAACGTTTCTTTTCAGTCTCTTCTTTATAAAACATGATGACGAAGTTGTGAGGATGGTGTTGTCAACAATGCAATCACCAGAATTTCGTCATCAAGCTTTGTGGTCCCGGCGATTACGAAATTTAGAAATTTAAATCTAGCTAATACGGTGGACATGAGCACTGCAAGAGCATCCGACATGGGCTCATTACAATCAATGCCCCAACGTGCATTCGGCAAGTGGCTCGGTCCCAATAGCAGCGATGACTGGAACAGCTAAACCTTAACAATGTGCGGAGCTCAGCGCGTGGCTATGATAAACGCTGGCGGCTTATAATCGGCTTTGGATCAAGTGGCCGCTTGTTGTGGTTGCGAGTTAAGGGGGTGAATGCTGATAGTTTTTGCCAAATCTGCGATTGTCTACAGAAAATAAACTAAACAGGTTATGAATGTAAAGGAATAATTCTAAGAGGTATTTACTGAAAGTACAAAAATTGTTGCATCACCCCTTTAAGAAACCAGCGAACAATGTTTCATCAAACTGCGATCATGGATGTCTCCAGAGATAGAGAAAGGTTCCGCAAGACTTCCATCATGAAGATGGCATCATGCTAACATGAGCAAAAAGAACCGGAGAAGGCATGGCCAGAAAGACTTGCCGTGACGCGACTTGAAAGGAACCTTCTGTAAGCCTCAGACTGATAGCCAATGTTTTGCTGAGGGGCTTAGCTTCTTCAGCATCTAAGAAGGAGCCCTTGTATGGCAACTTTGAGGATTCTAAGAGGTCCCTGGACGGCGCAAGCTACCACCCAATACGAAAGCTATACAGTAAACTCTCACTTGAGCAAACATTGGTTTAACGAATATTTCAGAATAACAAACTTTAAAAAAATCCCCCGCGGTTTTCCTATGCATTCTATGGAAAAATGTTTCAGTTAAACCAAAAACGAATTTCGAAATAGCGAATAGTTCAGTTCAAAGAACTTGATCGGTGGACCCAGGATTATTTTTGCAATCAGTTCAGCAAAGTTTTGTGCTCTGCAGTGCTGTCGTAGCCAATGCCCGTCGCCCCACCGCCGCAGCCTCTGCAGCGGCGGCATATCATCGCTGGCGTTTACAGCACTGCCGAGGAAAGCGGTGGTGTAGTAGACGAAAACGAACCAAAAGGTGTGTCTGTTTTTTGGTTTTTTTGTCATCGGTTTTGTTCGGCCATCTTAGTTTTGGGCAACAGCAGCAGGACGACAGTTTGTGCACCCACTTTCATAATGACTACGACAAAACGGAAGGGGTTGTCTCTATCAGACAAGCTCAAAATCCTTCAGAGTCTGGACAATGGTCAAAGGCAAGTGGACGTTCTGAAGGACTATGGGATTCCACCATCGATGTTGTCAACGATAGTGAAGCAAAAGTTGAAGCTTGAAGGAGAAACTGCATTCAATCCATACAGGAAACGACTCTGCACGGGATATTTCGAGCCAGTGGACGATGTTGTTGCGGTATGGCTTCGTCACAGTAACAAGCTGTGCCGGACGAAGTGCAAAAAAATATCTCTCTGGACAGCTTTGTTACTTTATGCACTCTAAGAGCACCGGTGCAAATGAAAATTACATTTTTTTTTTTTTTTTCAGAACGAGAAAGGCAGCAACGTAAATGTTATGCACTTTGTATATATAGATGTACATGACTCCATAAATTGCATTTCACACTTTTGACTCAATCTATGCTGTACCCTATGCTGTTCTATATTCTAGAGAATATACCTAGTTTAGTGAATTTTCAGTTAAGTGAACTATTCTCTTGGGACCCTTGAAGTTTGTTCAAGTGAGAGTTCATTGTAGCCAATACAGTGGAATCCGCTCATAACAATAATGAGAAAACCCAAAAATTCAATCGTTATAACCGATTATTGTGGTATATAGATTGGAAATTGATCGTTTTTAGTCTAGAAACTCTTATAAACTGATTGTTAAAAGCGGTTTCATTGTTATATGTGATATCGTTGTAAGTGGCTTACACTGTATTATACATCTACTCATCCAATCCTAACAAGCCCTTCCTACCAGCTTCACCTACCGAACAGTGCTGATCGTTGGGAAAGCTGGCGCTGAATTTGAGAATAAATGATAGTGTTCGAAGACAAGGGTCCTGTACTTTGTTTCAGCTTCCATCCGAGCGCAGCCAAAGGCTGAGGGACGGTTCGCAACTTCGAGAAGAGCATTCCTACGTGCCACAAAGTAGTCTGCAAAAGTAATTTAAAAAAATAACTGTTCCGTGTGTAATCATTGCACGACATTCCAGACGTGTACTGCTGAGAAGGATTTGCAACTAACGGAACTAAATATCTGAAGTTTATGTTTTTATTAATATGTAAAATCATGTGGTTTGGTGAACGGCATACATCCGCTGGCAACACTGCTCCAGCGCTCGGTTTTTCTGTGTGATTTTGTTCCCGTAATGGCCGAATCATGTGCTTCGCTGCTTTCCTCACCGAGTCGCTTCCAAACGGCCTTTCGCAAAGGCATGTTTGGGCATCAGGCGCGAGAGGTACTGATGAATGTCTACTTTCCAATTCAGCAGGAGACCCCGGCCGCGTCGTACTGCGGATGCGTTGTAAACAAGAAAAGCGTCCGGGCCCCTACAATTCACTGATAAGCGGCGAAATCAGGGCACCACTGTACCTGCCGATCACATTGAATGCCGAGAAGCAGGTGGAAAGGACTGGTATATCCAGACAACACACGGAAACATCAACGGCGGGTCATTGGGCACCTTGAAATGTGTACTTACATCTCGAAACTATGCCGAAATGCTGAACTGGTGGAAAGCTCGGACACAGACGCCAGCAGCCAGCCTACGTACTGACATCCCCTGTGACTAAATTTCAGAATGTGAAAGGGCACTTTTTAAACCTGTAGCAGACGAAATACTCGGCGAGCGCGGGCGGCGCAGACGACCAGCGGCGCAGCGGAGTGATACAAAAGTGCAGGCGAGATCGCGTGACCTATTGCCGGCGTGTGATTGGCTCCGGCCACACGTAGCTTTGGTTGCGCTCAAACTGAAGCTGAAACCAAGTATAGTGGTATCCAGTTCTCCTCCTTTTTGTCCTTGTCTTCAAGGGCTATCACGTATTTTTGACTTCGATTACTGCTGTGTTTTGTTTTTTCCACCTGCCTTGCGGTAAGCGTCGCAGACCAGGATCATCTCATGGAGCAGCTTGCCATCCGGAGTTGTCTTGGGCACAATCTCCCAGAAGACCAGAAGCAGCTTCTTCAGCGTGTGATCTTGGAGGGGAAGCACGAAGCGGATGATGGTCATCAGCAGGGAAGGGTATTTCTCTCCATTCAGCATCAGATGGATCGTCTTCTTCAGCGCCTCGGCCTTAGTCTTCAGGTCCCCTTTCTCTGTTCAGCGAGAGATCAGAATCATTCAGGATGCAACAATCCTTACCAGAAAATAGAGGAAAATGATGAGAAGGAAAATTCTAGCTCCTTTTTTGATACATAACACTGCCTTGCGGTAACTTACTGTCGTCTGCTCTGCCAGTGTGAAGCAGACGACAGCTTCAGCCTTGTGCCGTAGCAGTATCTTCTGCAGCAATTATAAATTTCCAGTAAATATTTGTGGAATTATCTTTTTATAAGAGGTATAATAAGGTTGTGTACAGGATGTTCCAAAAAGAAATGTACAGGGTTCTTTTTCACCATAAAGAATACCTATGCGTCTCTGAACGCTCATTCTCCGTCCAAAGGGCGCTCGAGGTATGAACCAGATGCCAAAGTTTCAGCACGAAACAATATCTAATTCAAAAGCAATAAGTGATTCTCTGAAAATTTCAATGGGAAAATGGCGGCCGACAGAGCTTTTGAATACATGCAGCTCTATCGTGCCAGAAACCAAAAACGGCCGAAAATGGGCCTCATTTTTCCACCGCAATTTTCACAAAATCACATAACTTTCGATATTGGTTCGAGCATGTAACTTTGGCATTTGGTTCGGTCCTATAGTGCTACCTTTGGGCAGAGAATGAGCGTTCGGCGAAGCATAGTTTATTTCAAACAGTCCTCAAATGAACAAGTTCAGCTTCAGCAAGGTTCCATGATCAGCAAGGTCAATGAGAGCACTGGTAGACAGACTCACCCAGATCGTTTCTAAGTTGCATTTCATTTGGAGGCTCCAAGTCTGTTGGTATGTTGATAAGGGTGTAGCAGATCTGATCTGCCGACGCCATCTTCGCAGAATTTCTAAAACGTTTAAGGAGAAAAAAAAACTTGTAAGTTAAACAAATTCTTGGTAGCACGGGCCTGTGCCTCATTGCTACTTCATCGCGGTGTTGTCAACAGTAAAAGTGGCGTCTTGGATACCTATCTAACCATAGCTCCCAAGGTGTTGTTATAATAAAAAAAAAAAATGATAGACACAAGTTTACAGAAATCTAAAGTGTGCAAGTTGGGTGGTTAGGTGCTACTAGAGAAAACAGACAGAAGCAGCTCGTGTAATTTTAGTGATTCCTGCAAACAGGATATGTTCACACAGCCATTCATCAGGCATCTTCGTCCATTCGGGTACAAATAATTGTTTGTATCCCGGGAAAATGATCAATTGATGTCAAAAAAGAAAAAAAGAAATGAAGTAGGATTGTTACGACATCGAGTACTAATGAAAGAGACAGTATGCCACCGCAACTCTGAGTGATCTCAACTGCTAATGAAATCTCATTATACCACTTTTTTGTTTCGAAACATCTGTGAATAATTAGATTCTTAGTTAAAGCTTGAATAACGTATAATAGTTTGATTGCGCCCCGAACGGAGCTACACATGCAAGCAATTGGGGACACGGAACGGTCAACACAGCATTCGTGGCTCATAAACAAAATTCGCTAAACTTTAGACGCCGCACAACTTGTCCTTAGGTTGAATAAGTGAATCCTGAACAACCGTTTGGCGATTTAAAACGTGAAATAAATTTCTTACCGGTCGATTCCGGCCTCAACAATCAGGGTGGTTACAACTCAGCACTTGCAACGTCAACGCACGCAACGGTGCCTAAAAGCTACCACGAACCACTCAAACAACGCCCTTTTTGCTCCCACAGATGTAGAGCGCGATAAAACGTAGTGCGCTGCTGACGACGAGCGCCCTGAATAACTCTATGCGCCCTGACGAGCCAATGAGGTAGACAAGCAGCACAAGCGTGCACAAGCCAAGGCGATGTGACGTCTCCGCTAAAATTAGAGGATAACTAGCGCCCTCTAGCCAATATAATTCTAAACATTTTGTTGCAGATGCCGGGAGTTTTGAACCCAACACAACGCAAGGCTCGAAATTTTAACCTCGCCGCAATTGGAGTTGTTTGATTTACCTGCACTTGCCTGCACCCTATACCTCGTTGATAAAAGTGCAGGACAATAGACTTCTTCCAAAACTTGAAGCGCCCCATCACGGCCAAGTGCCACGCAGTGCACGCTGGGAACTGGTTGGCCACCCAGTTTCGATTTCGATTAAGGAGCTTCTATTCATGCTATCACGCGGTGACCGAATGCGCTGCTTGCGTGTTCGATTGTCCGACTTCCCACGATTGTACAAAACCCTAAGCATCCTCGAGCGATCTAGAAGGAAGACCGGGGCACTTTTCTTGGTTCCCGGCATGCCGGATATCGTGCCTGCGTATGGAAACGTAGTAAGACGTGACTTATAGCGAGTTCGTTTCACGGCACTCGTGCCCACGCGTGCCCACTCGCAGCGTGGAACGGGTTCGTTTCGGCCGGCACTCCACGAGTGGTTGCACTCTCCGAGTTCGTTTCAGCGCTGACACCCCACGCGTGCATGCACTCGCTGCACCGAGAAAATCGGGAGTGCGCCAAAATGCAATCCCGTCATGCCTCGCTCCGGCGGGGCCGGCGAGGAGCGGGAGCAGACGACGAGGGTTCGTCTGCTACAATGTGTCGCGGAACCGAACGGAAAAAAAGTAGATTTTCTGATAGAAATCGCGTCCCACGGGCCACGAAATCAAACGCGAGCTTGAATTGTGAGCGTCTGCTATTTCCCGAAGGAAGCAATTGACAACCCGTGATTTATTTGCAGGTTTTAAATCGCTTTGTTGCCGCACAGACGCTGAAATATACCAATGTGTAAAGGAATGCTCAGAACAAACGTAAAAGCGGCCCCCGAGATATCTATCACCATCCGTGTGCGGGTGAAAAATTTAACATTTGTCGACAAAACTCTCTCAGCAGAAACCTCTGACTGCCCAATAAGCATCAGAGAAAGCTAAAGATGGTAACTTTACCCGAGGATTGGGCAACATCATCATGCAGCTAACTTGCCCCGTCGTGTTTTGTTCGAGAATGCTCTCGTTCTCGACGCCCTCACCGAGGCATTATAGGTGAATCATCTGATCCACCTATAATGACGATCCAAATCGAAAGTCCCAGTTTTGCTGGATATTCCAACAGGCTAGTTTTAAGCCGCACCCTTTCAGCGGTTCACGCATAATACCATGCTCAAACGGATCATGCTTGTGCTCGGACAGCATCATCAGTTTTCTTCAGTGTAAACGGTTATAACAATTGAAAGATCGGAACCAGCTGCTTTGTAGACAGCTGGTTGCGGAAATTTACGCCGTCTGTAACTATCTCTACGGCAGCCGAGCTGCTTGAAGTCATCGCAACTATAAACTACAGGTTGCAGCGACCAACGTTTGTAGATAAACGTTGGTAGCGACTGCATTCACGCATTCCCACGCATCACTCCGATCAGAAAGGCGCTAGTTTCGGTTTGAAGTCGGTACCTTTTCTACAACATAGATGGCGGCAGCATCAGTCTTCCGCACTCGGTGCATTTGGCGAGTTCGTTTGAGTCCAGTTTTCCGTGCAACACCCTGTGAGTGCGATGCATTCTGGGAGAGAACTCGAACGGTGCCAGTGCGTGTGAAACGAACTCGCTATTAGTACCCTTACCCCACGATTTTATCTTTAAGCTCACTTTCAATAATCCTGTCTAGTGCCAGTGAACCGCAATTGAAATTTGGTCACCTTCAGCCCTGCAAGTATTATGTTTGCCAAACGTCCGCTTCGTGTTACTTCATTGAGCACAAAACAAGCCGCAACCTCATAGAATACTCAGTTGAGCCCAACGTTGGCGAATGAACTTTTAAGGAAACGCGATAAATTCGAGCTCACTACTGCACAGAACCTACCGTGAAGCCCTCCTCGTGTCATTATATCTCTCCGACTCAAATTTTATGCTGATATTAGATTAAGTTTTCGCAAACGCTGAGATCGGCTAGCTGCGACGGAGTCCCTAACAAGCGTCCCCTACCCCTCGCGAAGCCTTTTGGATGAGCCTTTACCGACGCCCAAGATCTGTGTCTGAACGGTGGTTCTGAAATTATCTCAGCATACTCAGTCAGGAAGAAAGCAAACATATAACAAATCTTACGGCCATTACAACCGACGAATGCGCATTCTTTAGTTAATTTAGCGCACCGCATAGAGGTTCACGCGTCGCGCCGTGCTGTCCGCCGAACTGTGCCACATTCTTCACGCAAGCGCTCGACTGTTGCTTTCTTCAAGACGGTTTGTATGTGTGAATGTGCCTATATGATTGCAGGATAACTTCATGCGATATTGAATTAGTCGAATCGAAGCGTGTACTTCGTGCAGTGCTGCGGGTCATTACAGCTATAAAAGGATAAGAAGTGCTCGATTTTAGCTCTTCAACGGCGTCTCCCAGTTTTACCTCGCGTACTCGGGCGTATTAAGAAAAATAGTTATTGAAAAAAAAAAAACTAAGTTCGTCAATGGATGCATAAAACAAGTAACAAACTTGCTGACCAGCAACACTTATGTAAAGTTGCGAGCTTGGTGTACGCAAACTTATTGGGTGTTACAGCGTGTTGACCCGTACACAAGCAAGATCCCCGAGCTTCGCAGCGTCGAAATTCCCAGCACTGGTTCGTCCACATACCTCGAAACGCTAACAGGAAGGCTCGAGTACAAAAATAAACAAGCATGTGTCAAGACAAGCTTTACGTATGGTTCGAGTTGTGCTGAAGCTTCAAGGTCTGGCCATTTAGGTTAGTTTAGAGACCCAAAACGATGCGCTCAGGACCAGGAAACATGAGATAACGGCTGTTTATAATCCATGCTCTGTGTGTGATCCCTTCTTGACGTGTGGATCGAAACCAAAACCATGCCGCTCTCCTCCCTGGCCAACTAGTTTCCAGAGCGCAACGCGCGCAGTGTTGCTTTCAGGCCTCTCGCAGGGATTTAGGGAAGTAGTCTATGCACTTTCGGTTGTGTTTCATATAGGAAGTATTCACTGGCCGCCATATTTGTGGGTGCTGTTTAGAGCGCATGCTCAGAACGAGCTCACATCAATAGGCTGCTAAGACCGGCACTCTTGATGGTGCGGAATGCACGTTGCAAAAGAACTGTGGGAGCTCGCCATCAGCACGCGCTCAGAATTCGCGCACACAGCTATGGCCGCCAGTGGATACTCCCTATAGGCTGCATAGATGAGTTGAAGGGAGAGCAGGTAATCATTGGCACTGAACTAGGTTTCCTTGCTTGCTAGAACAATTAGATAACCAATCTTGACGTTCAAAACCACCTTTACATTTATAAATTGCCTTTAACTCCCTTTTTAGAGCGCAGCTCTTAGGCGCCCGTTTCCGGCTTGAGCGGCGTCGGTGTTGCCGTCGCCGTCGGCGTAACCGCGAGCCCTCCCCCCCCCCCTCCCCCAAGGACCTCGGGAGAACCTCGGGTACCTTCGGTGACCTCGGGAAGGGGGCAGTTACGTGTCCCCCCGAGGTCACGTGACCCCCCCTCCGAAGTCACGTGACCCCCTCCCTCCGAGGTCACGTGACCCCCTCCCCCCGAGGTCACGTGACCCCCCTCCCCCCGAGGTCACGTGACACCCCTCCCCCCGAGGTCACGTGACCCCCCTCCCTCGAGGTCTCGTGACCACCCCTCCCCGAGGTTACGTGACCCCCCCACCCCCCGAGGTCATGTGACCCCTCCTTGAGGTCACGTGACCCCCCTCGGTACCCTTCCCTCCTCCTCCTCAAGAGCTGCGCTCTAATTAGGTGTTACAGGGATTTGTAAACGCTTTCACTTTGAGCGCAGCTCTTAGGCGCCCGTTTCCGGCTTGAGCGGCGTCGCCGTCGGCGTAACCGTGAGGTCACGTGACCGCCCCAGGTCACGTGACCCTCTCCCCCAGGTCACACGACACCCCCAGGTCCGGGGGTCACGTGACTCCCCCCCCCCCCCCCCCCCCCCGAGATCACGTGACCCTCGCGAGGGGCGGAGGAGAAAGGAGAGGAGCAGGGAGGATGAGCAGGGGAGACGAATCCGAATTTTCATTACTCCGAAAAATGCTTTTAAAAGACTCTTATCTCTTGTCCCTCGGCCGGCTTCGAACCGGAGACCTTTCGTTCAGGAGTAGCAGGCAGGATCACGAGAGAGGAGGAGGGAGGAGGAATATACCCTCCCCTCAGTACCCTTCGCTCCTCCTCCTCAGAGCTGCGCTCCAACTCGGCGTTACAGGGAGTTTTAAAGCGCAGCTCTTAGGGGCCGTTTCCGGCTTGAGCGGCGTCGCCATCGCCATCGCCGTCGGCGTAATCGCGCGGTGCATTGTGCCCATAACGTACCGCGCGAGCCCCCCCCGCCAGGGGTCACGTGACCTGGGGGGTCACGTGATTTCAACTGAGGTCACGTGACCCCCTCCCCTTGAGGTCACGTGACCACACCCTTCCCCGAGGTCACGCGACCCCCCGAGGTCACGTCACCCCCCATGACGTCATCGTCACTGATGACGTCGGCGGCATCCGCATCGTCATAATCAGTGATGACGTCATCAGTGACGTCACTGACGACGTCACTGGCATCCGCATCGTCATCGTCACTGATGACGTCATCAGTGACGTCACTGATGACGTCATCGGTATCCGCATCGTCATTGTCACTGGTGACGTGATCAGTGACGTCACTGACGACGTCACCGGCATCCGCATCGTCATCATCACTAATGACGTCATCAGGGTCGTAACTGATGACGTCATCGGTATCCGCATCGTCATTGTCACTGGTGACGTAATCAGTGACGTCACTGACGACATCAGCGGCATCCGCATCGTCATCGTCACTGATGACGTCACCGGCAACCGCATCGTCATCGTCACTGATGACGTCATCAGTGACGTCACCGGCATCCGCATCGTCATCATCACTGATGACGTCATCAGGGACGTAACTGATGACGTCATCAGTATCCGCATCGTCATTGTCACTGATGACGTAATCAGTGACGTCACTGATTACATCATCGTCATCGTCACGTGACCTCCCAGGTCACGCCCCCCCCCCCCCCCGTACCCTTCCCTCCTCCTCCTCAAGAGCTGAGCTCTAATTCGGCGTTACAGGGAGTTGTAAACGGCTTTCACTTTTTATACCCTCTTTTCTGCATGCTCAAATAACTCAAACAGTCCTCTCTCAAACTGGCGGGATAAGCGAAGATTACTCGAAGCGGTTAGAGCTAGTAACTGCTGTCTAGAAAGGTGGGACGCCAAACATTGTTTGTTGGAACTGCACCATACAGTTGTCAGTGTGTGGGGCAGTGCCGCCAAAATGCCTAGATGCACTTCCACTTAGATGTTGTTGCTTTTCTTTTTAGCAGGTGCTTTTTCGAATTACCCTGCCACCTTCCCCCTTTCCAAGAACTTCCAACAACATTGCATTAGACCCGGGTGCCTGGCCGAAGATCGCGTTCTGAACCTTCTAAACTGTTGAACTAGACACAGATAAAAACGTACGATTTCAATAGCGACATATTTGGAACTCTGAAATGAAATTAATAAAGATTAAATTTAGGACAGTTAATTAGATCATTCACGTTGGCTACGTCCACCGCGTCTGCAAACCCATCAACCGCGGAATGCTATGGCACCCGACTTCGTATGCGTCGTGCTGCTAAACGAGCACGCGGTTGCCAGTGCAAAATGCGCACACTGGGGCTGCAGCCGCGCGCAGTGAACCTAACCAACGCCGGTGGCGTAGAGACTGGGGAGGCATATGGGGCTTCACCTTCCCCCCTCCCGCCCCCCCTCCCCCCCCCCCCCCACCCGCCCCCTTCAAAAACGGGCTTCTGGTCCGTGCCATCTTCAGAGCTCGTGCATAATGCGCGTGTTTCGCTCGCTTTCCGAAGCCGTGACCATGCAGGAGATGGGCTGTGAAGTTCTCACGCAGGACTGTGATTCTGTAAACATTAAAGCGGTGTATATTATGCACATGCATTTTGAACTCCCCTCCTCTTCTCTGCACCCCAAGTCACGAACATCCCAGCCACCTCAGCCACCCCCCTCCTCCCCCCCCCCCCCCCCGCACACACACACACGAAAAAAAAAAAGAAATTCTTGGCTATGCCACTGGCCAACGTGCATTGTTGAACTGACCTCTTCTTAAATTGTACGTGCGGCTGTACTCAAAGGGACAACTTTTGGTGGTATTTCTCATGAAACGAAGGCAAGCAAAATTTTAGTCGGTTTTCAAAGTTGCCCCTGGGCATCAGCGGCCTAGCCGAGGGGGGTGGGGGTGGGGGTGGGGGGGGGGGGCAGTTCGGCCCCTCCCCTTCCTAAACCTCAAAATCCAGTAGACGCTATGATACACACGTGCTTTTTGAACCCCCCTCCCCCCCCCCCCTCCCGCACCCAGTCAGGGACATGCAAGCACCTCAGAACACCCCCCCACCCCCCCAACCTGAAAAAAAAAGTCTTTAAGTACATTTTGCTTAAAGCACTACTTTAAGTACGTTTAGAAAACTTGTACTTTGTTTGTAGTGGATTCTCTGAGTATGTACAGGGTGCCACAAAAGAAAATTTACACGGTCTTTTTTACCGCAAAAAGAAACTAGGCATCGCCGAACGCTCATTCTCCGCCCAAAGGTAGAGCTAGAGGTCACAACCAGATGCCAAATTTCAATGGGAAAATGGCGGCCGACGGAGTTTTCAAACACATGGGGCTCTATGGCACCAGGAACCGAAAACGGGCGAAAATGGGCTCCATTTTCCCATTGAAATTTTCAGAAAATTATTTATAACTTTTGATTAAGGTATCGGATCGGGCTGAAACTTTGGCATCTGGTTGTGACCTCTAGCTCTACCTTTGGGCGGAAAATAAGCGTTCGGGGATGCCTACTTTATTTTCGCGGTAAAAAAGACCGTGTAAATTTTCATTTGTGACACCCTACTTGTACTTTCCAAGATATGCACACCTCTGTACTTACCAAAGATTGTTCAATGCCCGACTTCAAAGTACAATCCCCAAATTGGGCCTTGCTAAATTTGTATCACAAAATTATGATTTGTCAACGAATAAGTGTCCTATAAGTTGATTGTGTAAATAGTGTGTCAGTTTGAGTAAAACAACAAGTCTGTAGCCATTTAACTTTATCGAAAGTTCGCTGCCATCTATGAAATTAACTGATGCACCCCCGGTTATTCCTAGGACGATGCATACCAGTCAAAATGAAAGATTGTTGAAAACTACAATTGTGCTTTACTTTGAAATTACATTGTATTTATAGTACTTTACTTAAGGGCATTGCGCCATTGCACTTGCTACTTTACTTGAAGTACGTAACCTCTCACTTGTTGGATGTACTTTACCAAAGGCTGCTTCTGGGCATGTACAAAATAACTGATGCGCGTCCATCTGTCAAGTGGATCGGACTATCAGCCCGTATACACAACACGGATGACCTGCCAATTCGCGAGGTCAACCGTAACGCTAAATCGCTCCGTCACACTTGAGACAAACATCCGAAAGCCCAGGGAGCCCATACACCTCGCATTGAGAGAGGGTAGGGAAACTCCTCTCCCTGTCAGGCCGGATGCAAGCAAGCAACCGCAGTGAAAAGCAGAACAGGCCGCAGCCACTCGCGCATGCCTGGACACGCTCTTCTATAGCTTGCCTGCCGCCGCACTCCGCTGGCGGAGTCTGTTTGCCAAGATTAGCCAGAAGCACGGACCCCGAAGCCTCACTGACTGGCGAGCACGTTTCCAAATATTCCGGGAGGGCTCCAAATTTAGCCGGTCGGGGCCCAGCTCTTCCCGATGTCAGGTCTGCGTTCGTCACACTCCCTTTCCCTCGGCTTCTTTCTTTCTCCCTTTCCACCCCTACTACTCCACTGTGGGACTCCTGGATCCTCTGCGGCGATACGCGTACGGTTCTTCGCTTCGAAGGAGCCGAAAGCCATCTTCAGTGGTGTTTATTCCGGTTTTAGGACAACGGAGCCTTATATTCACTGACCGAGGCATGGTAATTCGTAGCTTACATTGAACCTGGGGTCACACCAATACTGGTATCCTTCACTAGCTGCCACAATGTGGACGAGGTAGTCACTGCTGAGACGACGTTTCTGGAATAATGCCATCGTGCATGGTGCAGCTATCGGATTATGAACCCGCTGAGAAAAGAGGGTAAGCATGTGCATACTTCATTCACATTCTCGCATTCGGTAGTTAACAAGTCATTGATCGTGACTTTTTTGCGATGATTATGAGAACGACTGCGTAAGTGTCACGGGATGCAATTCTAAGCACGAATTACCTTTGATACTAGGAACCGATGAGACTTAAATAGCAAAAGTGTCAGATCGCATGCAAGATTCATGTTTACAAATACTAAAACCTTCTTTTTGAAAACAAAATACACATCTATAGCGCACACTTTAATTTGATTGAAAATGTTATAACGTATGTCTATACCCTGTGCATTCAGCTGCTGTTCACGCATTGAATGAAAAATATATTTGTATCGTTTTATATTGTTAACACCAAGGCTATGAGCTTACGGATTTATGTTGCACAGTACACCAATACGTTGATTAGACGTCTGAGATTGCCATGGCAAGCTGTGCAAGAGGTCCGGTAGAAATCTCTGCAAGACATTATCAGTGGCGTACCAACTTGTTTTTGAGTGGGGGGGGGGGGGGGGGGGGGGGGGGGGGGGCAAACCGAACCCAGACTCAGCCTCCCCCCTACCCTTTAGGGGCCGGGGGCGGTAACCTTGGTATCCCTTGGGGGCCGCCGGCCAGTGTTTTCCCTGCCCAGTGGCGGTTGTTTCAGGGGGGGGGGGGGGCAAAACACATGCCTTGCCCCCCACCCACTCTGAGAACTGGGGGGGGGGCAAGCGCCCCCCTTGCCCCCCCCCCCCCCCCCCCTTTGTTGGTACGCCCATGGACATTATGCTTCCTCTGAATGTAATGTCTTCTAATGTGCAGCCGTGGCTGTGCTATGGTAATGGGCTGTGAGTTGTGGTCTACAAGGCATCATGAAAAAGGATAACATCTCTAAAATAGTAAAATAAGTATAAGGTAGCTGTATGACCTTGGCACGGAACCTTGTTGGCCCTAGAAAGCTTCCTTGCTCGTATCATTCGTACCTTAAAAGAAACATACTCTTCCATTTTGTTTGACTAAAGTATACCTAGATGACTTAGAAGGCAACGAAGCAAAGAATACTTCAATACCACACTTTTGCAATTCGCAAAAAGTACTTTTTTTAGAATTGCTTGCGTTCGAATGAACGTCATATCAATTATCAAGGGAAACTGTTGTATGCCTTCAACTGAAATGTTGTTAGTCACTGCGCATTGTGTGAACCCGCTCAATCAACAGCGCCTTACTTACGAACCTCGTCAAAACAGAATTTTGCGTGATGTTTGATATAACAGTGTGTGTGGCCAAATTATCACTAGTTACTACCAGGTATGAGGGGTGGGGGTGACGGACTGCCTAGCATTCCGAGCCTACACTAAGTTAGATGCATCGTGATGTATGGACATTTGTCAGACGTACATACATTTAAATTTAAATAAATCACCTTTCGATTCTTAAAGCTAATTCGGTTCTTATCATTCGTAACGCCAATTCAACAGAACTGCAGTTATGATATACAGTATAATGTGAAATGCAGGCAGGGCCCAGTTGACTGAACATTCCAAAACCGTCTGCAGTTCAGATGTTGCCATTTCGTGTTTCTGTTGCAAATGTTCTTTGGTGGCGATGTATGCTGGAGTAGATATTTCTATCGCATGCACCCTAAAACGTGTTCCAAAATTCCCGTTTTTTTTTGTTTGTTTTTTTAGCAACACGTTTTGGGTGGTATAATATCGAGTTCATGAGAAGATGAACAGTAGCCTCAACACAGTTACTTAATTTCCACATGTAATAGCAGGCTGAAGGAGTGCATAAAAAGGTAGACGGAGATGGCACAGCGCGTCACACGATACACGCAAGTAAAATCTGCTTTCTGCTGTTCAGAAACTCCTGTGGACTGTATACAACTTACCATGTAGGTTACCAGAAGCAGTATTCACGCGTGAAATCACCTTCAGTCACACCATCGAAACGAAAGGTGGGCAGCTTGTAACCTCGTCCAATATTTTATTTTACTAACATCTCGAGCGAAGGTATACAAGAAGTAGCGTTCACCTGTAGAGATCTTTTTTCAAAATACTTGGTTGGTCATTTCAATGCAGTATTGCACGCTGGAAATCGGATGCCCTTTTACACTGAGAAACAGGGTCAAACTCAGTGAGCTTCAAGGTGCAATGTAGCAATTAGTGGCACTAACATCAACAACTTAACGCTTGCTCAACTATGCCCTTAAAACACTGGAGTGAAGCTGCAATCCGGGAAAGAGGCAGGTGAAGCCAACTTTGGGGATGATCCCTATGCGGACCAATCGACATTGGAGCACCTATTAGTACCTACGTGCACAACTGACTTTTGCTTATTAGTGCCATTTGGGGATACTGCAGAGGAGCTGAAACCCCGAGAAGGGGATTGTTTCTAATGCAGTGGAAGCCAACTCAGAAGATATTTCAAGCACTCTCAGGTTTTGAAAAGCATCTGCATTATGGCACTCTGTACCAAAGATGTGCAGATCAAGTGAACGTTAGACTTGGTGTAGAAGATCAGTTTAAACCTGTAAGAAATTACCGAGGAATGCGATATAAATTGCAGGAAAAGAACATATCTGCGCATTAGTTACGTGTAAAAATAAATACAATTTTAGCTTTTTTTTTTATATCCAGCAAGGTTGGAGGCTTAATTTGGGCCCTAAGCACAAGAACGCCTCCATGAGACTTTTTATCTAGTTCATAAGTCACTTGGCTAGAAACGCCTAGGCGTCCGGACGAAGAGTTTATTGCGCACCGCGCCGTATATTTTTTTTAGAGAATTTCTTTCGCTGAATTTATGCCCAAGGGTGCGCCCATAAGGAGTAATAGTAATTAGAGTAATTGTCGATCTGTCTGTCCAATTAAACGCACATTAATTGTGTAAATTTATGCAAATAATAAACGACTAAAATAACACTCCCTAAATGCGCAGTCAGTGATCTTGATGAGCCGGGTAGACGTAAACGAAAAGGATATGGTACGTGCCTCAGGGTAAGGCTATTTGTTTTTACCAACGTTTCGAGCGGAGGATGCTCTTCATCAGGGTTTCGGCAGGGCCACGTTCGAAACGTTTGTCAAAATAAATGTCGTTACCTGGTTCCATGCACTTTCTGATATTGCAAATGATCCCCCTTTTGGCCCCTGTTAGAAACGCTTATATTATTTATCATATTTTATTTACTCTTTGTCCTATGGGCTAGGTCAATCATAAAAACGTTTACTGTAATCTAAAACTTGGTTGGGACTTACCCAAAAACTACTGAACCAAAGTATCCCCGAATTTCCTGCAGAAACACATATTTATATATGGCATAAAAAAACAGCGCGCTTCTGCTTTAACAGACGGTTTTATTTTGCATATATGTCCGACGTTACAAGAAACAGAAATAACCGAAGGTTAAAGTTGCTTAGCATTTCGTGTTCTCTTTCATTTTTTTCCCTCTTTTTTGCGGTTTCTAGGAAACCAGCAAAACTCAACAAACATATTGAAGTCACGTGATAATAACGGGAGAATCAATTTTCGGCTGGCTCGTGTCCCATGGCTCCCGTCCAGGAGCGAAGCTTGCACCAGACTGAAAGAAACCGGTGCAATGGCTTTCAGACGGGTGTGCGCCGTCGTCTTGGCATAGGTTGCGTCGTCTGCTCCGAAGCAGCAGACGCTACTGCCGCCATTTTCGAGCTTGTTTTCATGCCTCTGTCTCGCTATCTTCCTCCAGTTGCTGAATGATTGGACACTCTACTGAGCTGGCCGGTGCCCCCCACGTCCGGTATACCCGCGGAATACATAGTTAAAAGCAACAAACGTGTTTGTGACGATAAAGGAGCGAGCAAGAGACCACGTCCCGAGGTTGCAGGAATGCAGTTCTGTCCAGTGGCGGTCTTCCGTGGAGACACGGGGACAGCAGGCGCCGGCGTTTTGTGAATGTGAGTATACGCTACAAACTTATATACTCCGGCAGGTGCGTTTATACTTCGTTGCCTTGGAGTGGATACGTTCCGTCCTCTGACCTTTTCTTGACGACGCCTGCCTGTTTTTTTTTTTTTCGGCGGGGGTTGTGGTGATGTCAGAAAAACGCCGAGCTCTGATTAGTTCTGATTGAAGGATAGTGGGTAAACCTCGAGGCAGCTTGCTTTGGGGTCTATACCCGCTATCCTTCGATCAGAGCCAATCAGCGCTCGGCGTCTTTCTGACGTCACCGCTACTCCTACGCAAGAAGCAGACCACTTACTCTCCGGATAGCTTTTCGTCTGCCCACTAAGCATATCAACCAGACAGAGGTTCGCATGTTAAGTCGCCCTCACTCACCCTCACCCTCACAGCCACACTCACCTAAACCCCTCACTCACCCTCACCCTCGCAGCTACACTCGCCTTCAGCCCCTCACTCACCCTCACCCTCACAGTCACACTCACCTTCAGCCCTTCACTCGCCCTCACTGAACCTCACGGCCCTCACGCACTCACCGGCCTCACGCCCCTCACGGCCCTCACGCCCCTCACCGCCCTCACGGCCCTCACGCCCCTCACTCACTCATGGCCCTCACGCCACTCACCGCCCTCACGCCACTCACGGCCCTCACGGCCCTCACCGCCCTCACCGCCCTCACGGCCCTCACCGCCCTCACGGCCCTCACGCACTCATAGCCCTCACGCCACTCACCGCCCTCACCGCCCTCACGGCCCTCACCGCCCTCACGGCCCTCACGCCACTCACCGCCCTCGCGCCACTCACCGCCCTCACGCCCCTCACCGCCCTTGCGGCCCTCACACCCCTCACGCCCCTCACGCACTGATGGTCCTCACGCCACTCAGGCCAGCTTCAGATGGGGCAATTTCGCCCAGAAACTTTACGTCGCAACACCAGCAACACGGGCCGCCCGCGATCACACAGCAACCAATTGCTGCAATTTGCCACCGTCATCATAAAATTTTATTTTTCTTGCACTATTTAGACACAATTACGCGTTATAAACGAGTTTTTATGCATTTAAATCTCGTTAAGAATACTAATGCACCTTTCTGAAACAGTTTATTTCCAAAAAACGATCGATTTCAAACCAGAACCAAGTCTTTCGGTGTCATCATCACCGGCACGAGGTATCACTTGAAAATTTTGCGTCCCAAATTGGATGCAGCCGCTTTAAACGTATTCGAATTGCTCCGAGTTGCTTGCTTATTTCGAGCCGGACCCGATCTCAGCAATTCGTGTCGATCTAGGGAAAGCTAGAGAACAACCCGCCATTAACACCAAAATTGCTGAGAAAGATGCTCGATCTGAAGGGGGCCTCACGTACTCACCGCCCTCACGCACTCATGGCCCTCACACCCCACCTCATGCACTCACCGCCCTCACGGCCCTCACGACCCTCACGCCTCTCATGCCACTCACTGCCCTCACGCACTCATGGCTCTCACACCCCTCACGCACTCACCGCCCTCACACCACTCACGCACTCATGGCCCTCACGCCACTCACCGCCCTCACGCCCCTCACGCACTCATGGCCCTCATACCCCTTACCGCCCTCACCGCCCTCATGGCCCTCATGGCCCTCACGGCCCTCACGGCCCTCACCGCCCTCACGGCCCTCACCGCCCTCACGGCCCTCAGCGCCCTCATAGCCCTCACGGCCCTCACCGTCCTCACGGCCCTCACTCACCCTCACACTCGTGAATTTTCCTGGTTCAGAAACTCACTCACCCTCACCTCACCTGTGAAGATGAGGGTGAGTGAGGGTGAGTGAGGGCCCTCATGAGTGAGGTTTGCCGAGGTATGCAACCAGAGCTCGACGTTCTGGCGTCCCAAAGTACTCTTGTCCCTTCCTCTTCCTCCGTTGCTGCCCAGCGTGCGATCTTCACAGCTCAGCACGCTCACGTTCGTCGCTTCAGAGAGTGAGCAAGCACGCGCCATCGGCCCGAGTGCTAAAAATGGCCCCCGCCAGAATTCCGTTTCAGGAATGGTCTACGGCAGAAGTTGTGTAGTGTTCTGGCACCATGCATCGTATAGTAACTATACCTTATTGTACGGGAATATTGCTCCAAATTCCATGGCCCAGTGTCACCTCTAGAGTCAACACTGCGTGTAAAGAGTATATCGTGGCTTTCCCGTGCACTGTTGAGGTCATGAATGCCACAGCACTATATCGCTTCCAACCCGTTTTCGCATATCCTATATTTCTCGCCCGGTTGACGTTTGCAGTGGGGTGTAGCTTGGCAGGCTTGGGAGTTCCTGCTCGACTGTCAGATCTGAACTGTTATGTAAGCAGATAACATAGATCAGAAGTTTCCGCTTTCACGAAGCTTTTCAGGAGACCTGTCGTTGCTAGAGCCACGAAGTAAGGCATACGTACCTTTCAGAAAACGATGCTTTAGCCTAATTATTATTAAAAGCATTATAGCCAGTTATATGAAAAGCAGATCGATGCTTGAGTGGGCTAGTACACATCAGCTCGGAGGACGTGGTTTCGAAAGCTCGAGCTTCAGAATACAGGAATCCTGGCTTCAAGTTTCGATCTGAATGAGCATCGTCGTGCGGTCGTGTATCACTACTTCGTGGTGCATGTTCAAGACCTCAGGCCAGCGTAACTGCACTACACTGACTAAATTTCTCATGTACAGCTGAGACACCAGACGCTCATTGAGACTGACTTATGACTTCCGGCTGTATAAACATACACGCAACATTATTCTTATTAATTATCTTAAACGTTATCTGGAATCGTAAAATAAGGGTTTTGCTTTTTTTCAAATATGTTAAAACAGTTCGTCACAGAGCAAAGAAAATATCGCACGAGCTTCTGGACGCCGTTCCTAAACCTCAGGAAATGCATTTACGAATCTTAACAATCGCCCGTTGCTCCCGTTCTGCACCAGGCACCAGAATGGCGGCGCCCACCAAAAAAGTTGGGGAATGCCAATGCTGATATTCAGCTCTATACTTTGTTTCCCCTTAGGTCCACACGCATCCGACGCTACGAGCAGATGGGATCAATCAGACTGCTTAAAAAATTAAAGCCGTTTGCAACTCCCTGTAACGCTGAATTAGAGCGCAGCTCTTGAGGAGGAGGAGGGAAGGGTACTGGGGGGGTCAGTTGACCTCGGAAAGGGGGGGTCACGTGACCTGGGAGATCACGTGACCTTGGGGGGTCACGTGACCTGGGGGTCACGTGACGATGACGTCATCAGGCACCCGCATCGTCATCGTCATCATCACTGATGACGTCATCGTCATGTGACTCCCAGGTCACGTGATCCCCCCCCCCCCCCTAGGTCTTCCCGAAGGAACCCGAAGTCCTCCCGAGGTCCTCCCAAAGGAGCCCAAGGTCCTCCCGAGGTCCTCCCGAAGGAGCCCGAGGTCCTCCCGAGGTCCTCCCGAAGGAACCCGAGGTCCTTCTGAGGTCCTCCCGAAGAAACCCGAGGTCCTCCCGAGGTCCTCCCGAAGGAACCCGAGGTCCTTCGGGAGGACCTCGGGTTTCTTCGGGTAATGCACCGCGCGGTTACGCTGACGGCGACGGCGACGGCGACGCCGACGCCGCTCAAGCCGGAAACGGGCGCCTAAGAGATGCGCTCTAAAAAGTCGCCATCATGGTGGTCATAGTGTTTCTGTACGTGTTCTACTATCGCTGAACCACTCATTAACAGAAAATGCCCTTTGACTTAGCTTCTGGTCGACGCTGCTTAATTGGGCCCATTAGCTCGTAGAGTTGGCTGCATCTGGACTTAAGGCGAAACGAAGTATACTCATAGCCCTATAGCTATGCACAGGGATGGGCAGTATTTCAAATACAAGTATTTGAAATATGTATTTCAAATACTTTGTGTATTTTGCATTTGTATTTAATTACAAATTGGGTAATGTATTTGGCGTGTGTATTTAAATACTAAAACGTGGGTATTTCAACTACAATTGTAATTACGTACAATTTTGTGGGCGAAAATACATCCCTCCAATTTATTGTGACTGTCCAGAGCAGGGAGAAAACTACGATCTGCACCGAATGCAGTGTCTCTCAATCAAGCACAAGCGTTTAGTGACTTTGTGATTACGGTGCTAGTCCAGGACAAGAATAGTGACGAAATCGACGTTCACTGGCAGACTAGCTAAGTAAATGCCTGTGACAACTTGTGATGCTTTCCAGCCTGATTTCCATCCATATTTTTGCCTGAAACACTCTAAATGCTCGGGTCCTCCAGATTTTCGTAACTGGTGCGAGTAGCAACAATAAAAAATTCTCTGGCTAGTGCTGCGCGTCTTGCTGGTCTCGGTTCTTTGCTGGTATACCCAAATGTAATCGACAAAAAAAGCTGCTTGTAGCTCTGTACTTTTTTCACCTATTACGTCCAAGCTGATTACATTTTTTTTTGTGATTATATTTCTATTACGTTACTAGAACCTCGCACACTAACTCCCGAGTGTGCGATGCAAAATTAAAATGAGATACCCAGAAACCCGTTGCAGGTGCCCTGAAGTCGCTGACGCATATTTTGAGGAATGTATTTGTAAAAGTATTTGGAGGAGACCAAATACATTTGGTTGTATTTGTATCTTGTACTTAAATGCTTTTTTGGGAATGTAATTAGATTTGTAATTAAATACACTTTTGACGAAGTATATTGTATTTGTATTTCGATACATATTTGCATGTATTTTGCCCATCCCTGGCTATGCATATACTTTAGCAGTGGCGTACCAACTTGTTTTTGAGTGGGAGGGGGGGGGGGGGGGGGGGCAAACCAGAACCCCACCCCCTCAAGGGGCCGGGGGGCGGTGCCCTTGATATCCCTTGGGCGCCGCCGGCCAATGTTTGCCCTGCCCAGTGGCGGCTGTTTCACAGGGCGCAAAACATATATGCCTTGCCCGCCCCCCCCCCCCTTAGTCTGAGAGCTGGGATGGGGGGGGGGGGGGGCGAGTGCCTCCTTCCCCCC